CTTTATTAATAATCTTAATAACGACAGGAGGAGAGTATTTCTCCCTCCCCCCTTTTTGTAGTCTCTTTTCCTTCCCTTGACTTAAGATTTCCGGCTAGGGACCTCATGGGGGCCTTATGTATACTGTTTATTTGATTTTACTGTTAAGGGATTCACAAGTATGATATAGATCTCTGTGTAAGGGCAATTAGTCATCATTTCATATGGTATAATTGTGTTAGTCAGTTAGACTGGGTTGGCTATTTATTACATTTAACAAGTAATGTTACTAGTTAGTCAGACGATGGTTGCTCATGTATTTCACAGTTACTTGCTTTACCACTAAAACATTCTCGGTTTGTTTCAGCTTAATGCTACACTACACCGGCTCCGGATGTACTCTTGGGAAGATGTTTCTGCATCCTGACTGTCGTATGGAGTGTAAAGGGACAATCTCTATTCGTTAACATTTGTTGGACGTTTCCTGGTTCGGTTTACGTTTATTTGGATTTGTGCTGTCGCTAATTTTCAAGAGGAAGTGCCTAGGTGGGAGGGGCTTGATATATACTCTGCTTGTCTCTTATTGGTCATTTCTTCTTATAAGTTCTTTGCTGCTATTGGAGTAGTAAAGGAAGTTAAGGCTAAATACTTGCCTCCTATCATTATTAAAATTAAGATTAGTACACTAAAGCTAGCATAATCTTCAATTATCCTGTATATAGTTGCCACTTTTATGTGGACTTCTTTTTCTGGTATCTAAGTACATCAATTTATAGGGCTTTACTGCCTAAATTATGTTCTCAGATGCACCAATACTGTACTGTAAAGGGACACTATAGTCACTCAGACCACTTCAGCTCATGGCAGTGGTCTGAGGTCCCTTAATCTTGCAGTGGGAATTTTTGCAGTTTTTAATAAACTGCAATAATTACCATAACGGGTTAGGTCCACCTCTAGTGGCTGTCATGAGGACATCCAGCATCACCCAAAACCCCATAGGCATCGCCACACATTAGGTCTCCCTCACCAGATGGAGCGGAGGTGGAGTCTGAACCAGCGCCAAGGGACATTTTTTTTTTTTAAAACCCCTTCTTCACCAACAGGGGAGGGGGGTAGGATGTGACAGAGGGGGGCACTATAGAGAAGTGTTCCTTTAAGGATTCTGATTTACTTTTGTTATTTGTTTGTAAATATGTCATTTAGGGATCGACCGATATTGATTTTTTAGAGCCGATACTGATACCGATAATCTGTTAACTTTCAGGCCGATAGCTGATAACTTGCCAATATTCTGTACATTTACCATTTTGAAAAAATAAACAATTTCTAAAAGGTAAATGCACAAAATATAAAAGCCACATGCACTGGATGCAGTGTGTTTTGACAGTGGAGCTGTGTATATTTGTGTAATGTATATATAATGAATGCAGGGTGTGTTTGTGTAGTGTGTATAGTTAATGCAGTGACTGTGTAGTGTGTATATAATGAATGCAGAGTGTGTGTTTGTGTAGTGTGTGGTGTATAAAGGGAATGCAGTGTGTGTGTGTAGTGTGTGTAAAGTGAACGCAGTGTGAGTATAGTGAATGCTGTGTTTGTATAGTGTGTGTGTATATAATGCCTACAGTGTGTAGTGTGTGTATACAATGTAGTGTTTGTAGTGTGTCTGTGTATATATGATGCAGTGTTTGTAGTATGTGTGTGTATATAATGCAGTGTGTGTAGTGTGTGCATTAAACACACACACACTACATTATATAGACACACTACACTATATACACACTCTGCGTTATATACAGTGTGTGTGTGTATATAATGCAGTGTGTGTGTTTTCCTGAAGGGATGTGAGTTGTGTAAAATGGGGTGGAGGGAGGCATTTTTTTATTTTAATTTTTAATGTTTATTTTATTTTTTAATATTTATGTTTATTTTAATTTGTAATATTTGTTTATTTTAATTTTTAATATTTGTTTTTTTTAATGCTTATTTTTAATATTTATGTTTTATTATTTTTGTTGTCCCCCCTCCCTGCTTGTTACCTGGTCAGGGAGGAGGGATATGACAGTCCCTGGTGGTCCAGTGGCATTGGCTGAGCTGGGGGGGCCGCAGGTAGCGTTTACTTACCTCCCCTGCAGCTCCCAGTGTAAATCTCGCGGCCCTTAGTGCCTGACGGCCGCGGGTCTCGCGAGAGTTACACTGGGAGCTGCAGGGGAGGTAAGTAAACGCTACCTGCGCCGCCCCCCCCCCCAGGACCGCCGGGCTTGTAATGAGCCTGGCGGTCCTAGGAGGTATTATTGGCAATATCGGTATCTATATTGGCCGATACCGATATTGCCGAAAATACCGAATATCGGCCGATTGTATCGGTAAAACCGATAATCGGTCGATCCCTAATGTCATTAATAAAACTTGAAGAACAGACCTCAGTGCAATCTGAAGCTTAGTAATGTGTGTGTAGCCTACTATGTTGGGACCATTTACCTCTACAGCAGGGGTTCCCAACCCAGTCCTCAAGTACCCACTAACAGTCCAGGATTAAGGGATTACAGAGTTGTGTCTGAGGTGTTTTTTTCGGAACAAAAACACTTATGTCTATGGGACTCTGATTATGCCAAATAAAAAGGAAGTCATGCAGGCCATTGTTTAACATGAGGCTTAATGAAAAATCTGTTACTCAGTGATATACATATAGCTGGCTCCAGAATCCAGCAATTGTACTTTCTATAATATCAATGCACTTGAAATGAGAAAGGATTGCAACACAAGTTGCGCATTCACAGAAGTCTGTGTTCATGTTTTTGCCTATTGTTAGTCTTTAGTCTAGAACTGCAGGTATTTTTAGTTTTAGAGGATTTTATTTTTTTAAACAAACAACTTGACCATTATGATCACATAGCAAGACATTAGATGCTCTGAGAAATGTCTCACAAGACTTTGGCTTTAGAGCAGAACGGTCATATGAGTATTTTTGTTAGAACACAAAGATAGATATCATGTGTTATTTTATATAAAGTCCCTTTTAATATATTCCTCTAGACAAATAATTCCATTCTCACATTACAATTTCCCAAAAAAATAAATAAAAGGCATACAGTTGCAAGAAAAAGTATGTGAACCCAGTGGAATGATATGGATTTCTGCACAAATTGGTCATAAAATGTGATCTGATCATCATCTAAGTCACAACAATAGACAATCACAGTCTGCTTAAACTAATAACACACAAAGAATGAAATGTTGCCATGTTTTTATTGAACACACCATGTAAACATTCACAGTGCAGGTGGAAAAAGTATGTGAACCCCTAGACTAATGACATCTCCAAGAGCTAATTGGAGTGAGATGTCAGCCAACTGGAGTCCAATCAATGAGATGAGATTGGAGGTGTTGGTTACAGCTGCCCTGCCCTATAAAAACACACACACCAGTTCTGGGTTTGCTTTTCACAAGAAGCATTGCCTGATGTGAATGATGCCTTGCACAAAAGAGCTCTCAGAAGACCTACGATTAAGAATTGTTGACTTGCATAAACCTGGAAAGGGTTATAAAAGTATCTCCAAAAGCCTTGCTGTTCATCAGTCCACAGTAAGACAAATTGTCTATAAATGGAGAAAGTTCAGCACTGCTGCTACTCTCCCTAGGAGTGGCCGTCCTGTAAAGATGACTGCAAGAGCACAGCGCAGACTGCTCAATGAGGTGAAGAAGAATCCTAGAGTGTCAGCTAAAGACTTACAAAAGTCACTGGCAAATGCTAACATCCCTGTTAGTGAATCTACAATACGTAAAACACTAAACAAGAATGGATTTCATGGGAGGATACCACAGAGGAAGCCACTGCTGTCCAAACAAAACATTGCTGCACGTTTACGGTTTGCACAAGAGCACCTGGATGTTCCACAGCAGTACTGGCAAAATATTCTGTGGACAGTTGAAACCAAAGTTGAGTTGTTTGGAAGAAACACACAACACTATGTGTGGTGAAAAAAAGGCACAGCACATCAACATCAAAACCTCATCCAAACTGTGAAGTATGGTGGTGGGGGCATCATGGTTTGGGGCTGCTTTGCTGCATCAGGGCCTGGACGGATTGCTATCATCGAAGGAAAAATGAATTCCCAAGTTTCTCAAGACATTTTGCAGGAGAACTTAAGGCCATCTGTCTACCAGCTGAAACTCAACAGAAGATGGGTGTTGCAACAGGACAATGACCCAAAGCATAGAAGTAAATCAACAGAATGGCTTAAACAGAAGAAAATACGCCTTCTGAAGTGGCCCAGTCAGAGTCCTGACCTCAACCCGATTGAGATGCTGTGGCATGACCTCAAGAAAGCGATTCACACCAGACATCCCAAGAATATTGCTGAACTGAAACAGTTCTGTAAAGAGGAATGGTCAAGAATTACTCCTGACCGTTGTGCACGTCTGATCTGCAACTACAGGAAACGTTTGGTTAAAGTTATTGCTGCCAAAGGAGGTTCAACCAGTTATTAAATCCAAGGGTTCACATACTTTTTCCACCTGCACTGTGAATGTTTACATGGTGTGTTCAATAAAAACATGGCAACATTTCATTCTTTGTGTGTTATTAGTTTAAGCAGACTGTGATTGTCTATTGTTGTGACTTAGATGATGATCAGATCACATTTTATGACCAATTTGTGCAGAAATCCATATCATTCCAAAGGGTTCACATACTTTTTCTTGCAACTGTATTTAACACAATAATCGACTTATTTCCTGAACAAATCTATGAAATTCAAATCTATAAAAGACACCAGCCTTCCTGAAACTCAATTGAAGAAACGTGAGGCCGCTGAAAAAAAAATAAAAAAATCTGGCTCTGGAGAGCAACCTTTGGCATTAAACCGTTTCACCGTTATTAGCCAAAGCACTTGCTATATAGCATAGAAGAGGGTTTTGGATTCCCTATTGGATGCTGAGGTGCCTATCAATAGTCAAGTGCATATATAGCTCTACACTTGTGAGTGCACCCGTTGTTTCATTACTCCATGGTTTAAGCAGTCTTTGTCTGAACTATTGAAGGGACACTATAGTCACCAGAACACCTACAGCTTATACTAGAGGTGCTTCCTGGGGCAGTGCTGCATGAACTTTCCTCATAGATATGCATTGATTCAATGCTTTCCCATTTCCTATGAGAAAGCATTGTGATTGGCTGATACCACTACTGCTGATGTCAGCCAAGCAGGCAGATCAGGGGTAGTGCCAGCAGCAGCAGCAAACTGGAGCAAAGGTAAGATTTGACTATATTTACAAGGGGGGGTCCAGATGGTGTTTTTAAAACTATAGGGTCAGGAATTCATGTTTGTGTTCCTGATCCTATAAGGTTCCTTTAATTTTCTCTGTATCATGGTTGCAGATACTGTGGCATTACAGAGACAGAGGGAAGTATACACAGCTCCTCCAATTGTGTATGGTTTTCTTTGTTTTACTTTAATTCTATGAAATTTGTTAAAATGGACTTCACTCCGTCACATGACAAAGATGGACAGTGGGAACCAAGGGAAAAGAAAGTGAACTTGCATAAAGTGGGGGAAATTTAATATTAACCAAAATGTTGGTACACACAGCAGTGAAAGTTTCTTTAGCATACATATCACAAATTTAAGATCTGGAATCTGCATACCTTGGCAAAGAAGGAACAAGGGATACGGTCTCATAGTGGGTAAATTGCTATCACATTGTCACCGTACACATATAAAGAAAACCCAATTACAATGAACATGTGTGAAATTCATGTGAGCACAATATTCTCAACAGCGCTACACAGTATAATAAAACCGCCAGTTTGCAGGCTCTATACCATGTGAGTGAACCAAGTTGTTTTTTTCTATTTTATTATACTGTATGTGTGTTACTATACTATGCATTTTTTTCTTTGGTGAGGCTACTCTTAATGGTAGACTGAAGAAGTGGTATTATACCTGCCTTTTTGAGTGGAGTGGCCGCCATGTAATCCCAGAGGCAATCTTACTGTGAGTTAGCTTTATAGCTCATGCCCTCACTAGTGTTCCATTTGCCCCATATTTTCTATTTTTATTACATATTGCATTATGTTTAGTAGATATATTTATTTTTAAGATTGAAAATATATTTGTATAGGACTCAAAAAGATAAGTGATATTCTTGTATTTTGGGGTACTGCAGAGTGTAAATTCACATTTCCAAAATTACAACTATGATAAATCACATTAAACTACAGTGCTCCACTTCATGGTTTGAAAGCTCGTAATTTGGTTGGGCAGGGCCCTCTTCACCTACTGTTCCAATATGTCAATCATGTTTTGTTGGAATGAAAATTTGTCTTGTTTACCTATTGTACTGAGCTGTGGAATATGTTGATGCATATTAAACAGTTGTGGTTGTTTTACATATTTTAACTGCATTTTGAAACCTTGACATTGCCTTTCTAGAACTTACCAATTCAGTATTTCTTTATTAAAAAGATAATGTATAAAAAAACAAAACAAAAAAAAACCGTACACACGTACATTAAAAAATGGCCAGTATATTTTCATTTACAAATATATACACACTGATATATTGACAGTACAGTGAAAGAACATTAACAAATCAAAGCCCTCATTCAAGCTTTGATTAGTGAAGCTTAAAAAGGACCTGAAAAACAATATGGCTACAGTGGAACATCAACCACAAACACTCATTCTCCAGTTGCCAAAGATTCCCTTACAATCCGAGGTAAAAATCCCTGTAAAAAGTGAAAAAAAATGGGGCTGAGTCCATGAGTATCAGCAGTTGAAGTTAGACACAACTGTGTTTGTCCCTGGGCTGTCAATTGAAAATTTACAGTCAATATTATAAGAGGCTCCTCCCCCATACTTTCCATTTTTACTGAACACAATGCACGAGAAATTTCAGTTTCCAGCTCTATTCCTTTTGCATCCCCACCGCGGCGACGCCTCCTCTCCTTGCGTCGGCCTTCCCATACTTGATGCCACACGCACACCCTCAACAAGCGCACACAATCTGAATCCTCATGTTTTTGTGCATTTTCACAGTGGCTTCTACAACTGTCATCTCCAGACTCCTCTGTCTTCCTTTTCTTTGTCACAATGTCCTTTTTACTTAGATCTGTTCTTTCTCGTTTTTTTCCCTGTGCTTCACTCTTTATCCAGTTCTTGCAATTTCCTTGCTCCTGTTTTTCAGTGTACTCCACCTTGCACGGCACAGCTTGCACCACCTCCATTACCATTTCTTCATCCAAGACACTCTCCCTTCCTTTTTGTGTCTTGTTTGTCTCACCTGTTGTAGACTGTCCCTTTTCAAAAATGGCCTCTTCTTCCTCACACGTGCACAGCAGCACATCTTGAAAAACCTTCTTCGTAACTGAAAAAGCAACCTCCAACGAAATCGCTCCCAGTGGTACAACGATCTCAGCCACACTATTTGCCTTTTTTTCTTCATCAGAGAGTGCAGGAAGAAAAATTAAAGTGATTCCCCAGGGTCTACATCGAGAACGCAGACGGTAGAGAGAGGTGCGGCAGGTCTGAGCTGTGGAGGTACACTGTGATGCGAAGCAGCGAGCCGTGCGTGTGCTGACATTGCCACATACATTGTGACTTAGCTCAAAAGGATCTTGTACGTTAATACGTCCCAAACGGAATCCATCCAGCCAAGATGGAGGAGAAGAAAGAGGAAGAGGTAGGACAGAGCCATTACAAGGGCATAAAATAACTGAGGCCAGGTCAAGTGAGGAGAAAAATGAGAAAAACTCAGACAAAAGACAACCTAGAAAAGGAGAGAAGTGAATGAAAATGTAAGAAATACATACAGTATAATTAATGAGAAAAAATGATGAGACAATCTACAGAACAGGCAATACCGAAATGTTTTTAATTTACTTGGGGGCATAATGCTGCAAAGATAAAAAAATAAAATAAAAATGCAATTTAAAAAAAACAAACAAATTACCTCTGCAACACTTCAATGTCAGGGCAACTTTGTCACCCAATGGGAAGTCTAAGAAAATAAAAGCACAACTCATGGCAAACTTTTACTTAACTATTGGGTTGTGCTAAAAATGTCAGTAGTGAGTTTCACTTAATTAGGAAATCATATGCCTCCCACACATTTTAGCCTTTTTAAAACATTTCCATTATTTTTGAGAAGCACCATGCATACCTACAAGTTCTGGCTGTAGACATGTGAGCAGAACAGGGAACTTTGAAACGGTGTGCATATGATGCTGCACGCATAGACAAAACAATAAGAGGGCATTATAGCATCATGCTTCTCCACACAGTAATATTACACGTCTGTCACTACTAAGTTCTCCAATCCATGGTCCCCTGACCATAAACACCAGTATAAAGATTAGTAGGCACTTACTCAAACTCTGCTGGTTGCCACTGGTTTGAATTTGGTTGATATCAGATAAGAAGGTGCAGTCCCAGCCATTAATCACCTGGGGAACCTCATTCACTAATAAAAAAAAAAAAAAATAATATTAAAAAATACACAGGTGTAATTGTAGCAGAACAGTCATTTAAAATTGAAATCTTATCAATTACAAATGCGTGATGGCATAAATGAACAAGTTCCAAACATGAGCCATTATAAGCCCATACATTGAGGTAATAAAAAGGAGGGTGGTTAAAATCATATGCATAGTCATTCATTTATAGCAAGTATTTTATAAAACAAGCCATCATTTAAACAAGCACCTTTAAATGGCAGATTAATAAAAAGGATTATGTGCTATGTTGACCTTATAAGAGCATTAACAGACACTTGGTAAACACCACCATGTAAAAAAAAAAAAAAAAATACTGCTCATATATATTCTATGATTTGCAAACTATGAGTTAAATAAAATTAACATAAATATACGTTATTAGTGCGCTCAAGCAATGATTGGCTCTAATTTATGTACAGGTAGCAAAGAAAAAAAAAAAACTATACTAAAAATGAATGATGGCTAAATACTTTATAAAGCTTCTCCACACCCAAGGCTGATGACTCCAGCAGGTTTTACTACATATGAAGGAACAACGAAAGGAGAAATTAATCCTCTGATTGTACTGTGTGATCCTGAAGCTGAATGCCTTCATTTCAGGAGACAAGGAAAGCTTTTTCAAAGTTCCAATATTTCAAGCAAAGAGGATAAATTACAAAACAAAGAGTCAAAGTTAAAAAAAAGTAGATGCATGTTTATTAGGGCAATAAACGGTTTATTAGACAGCACTGCAAGGTAAATATGTTCAGATTCATGCAATACTTTGCAATAAGAGGGATAAGCAGCCAAACTGGGTTTCTGTTGCACTGAGTAAAAAAGGATATGTGGAAAGAAAAGTGAGCTCTATGATGGAGGCTTTGTAAGGGAATAACCCTTGGTAATAGGTATTTAATGGAAGTTAGAACATTTGCCTACAGATATATTTTCAAAATATAAAAAATGATAACGTTTAAACCTTGTTTTTATTGTTTTATTTAAAAGAGGGATATATCTTTTTTTTTTTTTTTCACTGTGTGATACCTATAAAGAGAGGTACTATCGTGCAGATTATATATAATTGATAGACCCTAAAGGAAAAATAAAATTAAAAAAAATTATATATATATATTTTTTTTTAATTTTTTTTTTTCTTTCCTATATTCTAGTTTACAACCGTTGTCCTGTCATTCAGCCAAACTAATGGTGGAGTTTAGCAACAAATGTTTCTCATAGTTGCTACTTTCAAAACATGCAAAATGTAGCATGTGTGTGGTGTGTGCTGGCTATATGTAGTGTGTGGTGCTCGGTCTTGTGCCACCCTTTGTTTTTCTGGTGGATTTCCCAGGATCCCTGGGTGGTCTAGTATGGGAGCGTGAGATCTGCGCCTCTGGCAATTGCTCTGTTGGCATTCGGTGAATCAGAGTGTGGCTGTACTCTGACTTACGAGAGAGTGCCAGACCGTGAGGTAGCAATTAATGAGGTGCAGACAACATGGGACCTGTCTCCCTATAGCCCTGCTGCTTGTACACAACAGGGCTTAATCAAATCAACACTCCCTCCCTCTCCCCCCCAAAAAAAACCTGTCTGCCCAGTGCTCAGAAGTACATCTTTGGCAGTTATACAAATTTCAACCACTGCAACAGCTCTTTACCAAGAAACAAACATCAACATTATAAAATATATATATATATATATATATATATATATATATATATATATATATATATATATATATATATATATATATATATATATATATATATACCATGCACATAAATGGAGGCTGCCTCGGGGTTTTAGTTATTTCAGGAGTAGTTCTCATTATTTCTTTAATGTATGAGATACAGTGAGCAACTTTATTGCACAATGTTGCAAGCATCTGTACTTTACAGTGACTCTCAGCATAGAAGCATATGGTAAGAGCAGGACTGGTTGAGAGATCAAATTTCCTGATTCAAGATTAAATCACTAGAATAACAGTTAGTTTAAAAAAAAAATATGTTTCTATAATAGATAAGGAAGTGGTAAGAATGGTAAGACTGCCCTGATATGATGCTTTAAATTATCGTTCTGACATCACAGTAACCTTTGGCATAGCAATTCACTCACCCGCTTCCTCTCTAAGCTTGTTCAAAGTGGGAATAACTGGTGGGCTCCTTGTTTGCAGGAAGAAAATAACAAGCAGCGTCAGTGCATAGTTATTCAGCAGGGGTCCACCTCCTAACGGGTTACCTGTGGGGTGTGAGTGACATCATATACTGAACCAAAAACACTTTCCCCTGAGTTGTCCAGGTACAGGAATAAACAAGCAGTTATTTCATATTATGGGTCCCATACTGTGACTAATCTTTCTTTTGCCCAGTTTTAATTCTAACCTTCAATATGCTATATATTCAACATGTTGGCAACCTGATCACCCCTGGCACTAATATTTTCAGTTTCCTCAAGCTACCACAGACATCTCCCACTTCATAAATATCATTAACCCCCAACGTTCCCATTGTTTCATCTTCACATAACAGGACTTATTGTCCACAACATGAACTCACATGTATCCCCTAACGCAGTGGAATAACTCCTTAACCTTTCGTGGGTATCCGAACCAAGGGTACATGATCACAAACCAGCAAGTGCAGGCAGAAGGTTTATAGCAGTGTACCTGCTATGAAGTAATGATGCTACTCAATAATAAATGCAGTATTAATTGTAATGCAGCTGTAATAATGCTCAATATTTTAAAACACAGCATTTTGACAAATCCATTTTAAAATATGCTCCTACTGAGACAGGCAACTAGAAACCACTGGGTCCTGGTGCAAAAAGTGCCCTGGGCCACACCCCATGTGTCTCATCCCTACCCAGCCCCTCCATGTGTCTCATTCTCCCTTCTGCTGCACTTCCTGTCAGAACTCTGTCCGCTTGGCCACGCTACAAGAAGTGACCGACAAGAGAGTGCTCCCCTTCTGCTGGTCACTCTGTGATCACGTGCCCTTCTCTGAAGTTATGCAGGCCCACGGTCGCAGGGATTAACAGCAATGCTGGGTCCCCTGGAGTGATGGTCCCAGTTGCAACCGAGGTAATTACATCACTGCTTCATCTTATACTTTACACCTCTGCACACTATTTTCTCACTCATTTAGTGTTCTCACCTGCAAGCTGGTGCACTCTTGCCCAATATCGCACAGTATATACCAGTTGCGGGACTCGAGGGTCAAGGTCAGAACAGAGACGTAAGAAGGAGGAGTTGCGAAGAGCAAGCCTGGTTTGGAAGAAAGATCAAGTGAGTGAGGCAACAATGAGAGTCCAAAAACAAACAAAAAAGCCTTGCGAGACATATGAAGGTCAGAGAGAGGGGATAACAGGAGTGTTACCATTAAAAAAAAAACCAAACAGACAAGAATTATAAAGAAGACATATGATGGAAAATAACAAAAAAGCTGCATGAGCTTGATAAAAGAAAGGGGAGCGAGAGGAGAAGAGAGAGGGGGAGAGAGAGGGGGAGCGAGAGGGGGAGCGAGAGGGGGAGCGAGAGGGGGGCGAAGGGGAGGCTTGAGGAGAGGGGGCTGAGAGAGGGGAGGGAGGCTTGAGAGGGGAGGCGAGAGAGGGGGCGAGAGAGGGGCGAGAGGGAGGGAGGCGAGAGAGGGGAAGCGAGAGGCTTGAGAAGGGAGGCGAGGAAGGGGGCTTGAGAGAGGGGAAGCTGAGAGGGGAAGGCGAGAGAGGGCGACAGGGGAGGCGAGAGAGGGAAGCGACAGGGGAGAGCAGGGGGAGGCTTGACAGGGGGGAGCGCGACGGGGGCAACAAGGGGAGGCGTGGGGGCGACAGGGGCGACAGGGGAGAACAAAAAACAGTAAAAAAGAAGCCAAACATCCACTCAGACTATGGAGTTAAAAACAAGGAAGAGAAAGCTGCACATTTTGTTAAATGCACATATAAATGTGTGTTGTAAATAGGAGGGGGGAGTCACCTATTATTCAGTGTAATATCTCCTCTCAACCCAGAGGTTTTGTGCTGAAAGCGTATTACTGGGCGCCGTGCAGAGGGCACACTCTGGACTCCATGCACTCCAGGAACACAGCGGCGAAGAACCTTTTCCACAAGCTCCAGAACCTCCTCAGAGGATAGTCCTTGCAAAGAAAGGCCGGGAGTGACATCCTAAAAAGGGCAATGATATTGTGACACTAACAGAATCAATGATGGATAAGATATGCAGATGTATTCACATAGCTTTCATCTATAATTTAAAGAGCTTGGCTGATATAAACTACCTTAAATCCTATTATTTAAATATCACACTGTCACTGTAAAGCAGGGTTTGTAAAATTTAGGAGCAATGCTAAAAAAAATTAAACCAAACAAAAAAAGTCAACCATTTTAGTGCCGGAAGTGAGCAAATGTCTAGCACTCAAATGGTTAAAAACAATATGCATATAAATTTAGCCACTTACATTTACACACACATATTTAATCAGTCACACACGCAAACAAACCCTTCACACATAACTAGCTGCTCTCATATACATAAACATGTGCACATAAGTAGCCACTCCCACCCATATAAACAAGCAGTCAATGACACATTCACATAAAGACAAACACAAAGACACACGCTCTCTCATTTGACAAATAGGAGCACTTGAACCAACAGGGTGTACCTGGTTCCATCATTATGTGCATTGTGGTATAGCGAAGGCAGGTGTATCCTCATATTGTGATGGAGCAGTGACAGCAATATGTGCAGTGAGAGGCACCATTAGCTGTTCTAACAGTTCACAGATTACTACGAAAGGTGGTCCTAGTGACACGGCTTTGTTATTACTACACCAGGCACCATTAAAAAAAAAAAAATTACAAAATTAAAATACCAGTTTGGTGGAGAGATAAGGAATTGCAGTTGAATGGCACCTTGCTTGAGACGAGGTGAAGTAAAGAAGTGGTAAATGGCAGTTGCAGACTGAGTCAACAATATGAGCACATGTATTCCAACTCCACACAAACCCAGTATTGCTTGCATTGGTTTGACACACAAAGTGGCAGTATAAAAAAGGGATGAAAGAGCCTAATATTGGGATCACATCCTTTACTAGAGTTATTCCATAGAAAAAGAAATAGGCGTTCAAGTAGGAAAAATAACACATTTTAAAACTGGCCCAAAACTATGCAGGTAGGTACATAACATATTAATGGGGAAAATGACTTATTTATGTCACAGGATCTACACAAGCCCAAGTGGACACTCACCTCTTCCTCATCCTCATCCTCCTCACTCTCTTCTGCAGATTTCATTTCTTCTTCTTTTGATTCATCTTCCTTTTCCCATTCGTCACTTTCGTCTAATAAGTTAATTTGCGTTTTGATTTCTTGTACTTCTGCATCTCCCTCAATCTTCTCTCCTATATCTCTGTCTGGGTCTTCTCTTCTCTTCACTTTCTCTTCACAATCATTCTCTCCAAGCTCCAAGTATAAATCCAAATCACAGCCAGAGATTTCAAAGCCATTCACAGAGGAGCCAAATGCCAGAAGTTGGCACCCTATCAGTAATGAATACACAGGTAAAGTAAAACGCAAGGCAAGGAAATGCAGTCACGCAGTGACAATAAACTACAAGTACCTGGAAAGAATTCTGTGAAGGTTTCCTGCAGAAGGGAAAGTAGAAGCTCACGGAGATGACTCTCTTGATGAGAAGGAGAACACAGAGAAACTAATTTCTTCATTTGATCCTCTACCTGTAATATAAATAATCACATACATAGATCTTTCAGATTATTATCTCCATTTCACCCTCACCTGATCTATTCAAACAATCTAAACGTGAAAATGTTCTCATACTTCAACTCAATGTATTTTACCCTCTAGTGTCATTGTGTCAGTCTGTTTCCCAATTCAGAATATAAAGTGTCTCTCTGACTGATATTCACACAGTACAACCTTCCACAAATTCCACAAGTTTCACCCATCCTTACATCAGTGCACTGTACAAGCTCCTTGCTTAATGCTTCTGGGTCTGGCGGCTGCAGCTTTCGAGGCCCTGCACCTTTTTTCCTTTGGAATTCTTTTTTCTCACGAGGTTTTACTTTAAGCGGTTTCTCACCCAGTCTTAGATTAGGTGCAGCCAGGGACAAGCTCACTCCATCTTTGTTCACAAACTCCACAATAGCATAAAAACCCTGCAGAACAGAAGGGAAGTTCTTATAATGCAAAAAAACAAAAAGGGAATTGGGGGTACACACGTAACATGCAATTCTCAGCAGTGGTGCTGGTGACAGACCAACATTTATATCAAATACACCTTAAGGAACAGGGCACACAAAAATACAGTTTGCTGGTATAGGTGATTTTAAATAGCCTTGTAAAATGTCAAACAAATACGGGGAACCTATAATATAATAGAGAAAGACACTTCACAGGTCAATTCCAAAGAGTTACGGTGGGAGAATTGAATAGTCATTTACATGCATCAAACATGTTGGTAGATAGAAAGGCAGAATCAATAAAGGTCCTAATGATATATTTATGCTTCTTCCTATGACATATTTCTAATACATTTTGTAACAAGTACTTAAGTATTTAGTGACACTAATGAACAAATATTGTTGGAACAAAAAAGAAAAAGGGATAATGATTTAAATGCCCCCTGCAGTACATATTTTCCATTAGCTTACCAAGCTAAATGTGATATTGTGCTCCACTAGGATATTTCAAGAAGACACCAGATGGTAATTACAACATATAGGGGAATATTACCGATACCTATAATGCCTTTTATAGAATGTATTTTCTGACAACATTTTTCCAATCCTTACAGATCTGTGGAGTCTATGGATATGATAAAAGCTAGTTTTGCTAGCTCCTGACAGAGCATTTAGGAGCAGGGAGTATGTTTGTAAAGTACTCAATGACAAAAATTATGGATGTTGTATGAAGGGTTTAACAGATTTTAGGGGACACTGTAGATTGAAAATAACCCTTTATACAAACAATTATTTAGAAATTCGAATAGTATGTGCATGCCGTACAAACATTAGCATAGACAGTAGAGGAGATATAACTAACTGAATAAATCGTGAAGGTGCTAGGAATGTTCCTTTAAACTTGGTGTGCGTTAGGTTTTAACATTTTAGCTAACGATCCTTACGCTATCTTTATCCATAACAATGCTCTTGACTGGAGACAAGGCTTGAAACACATCCATCAGCTGTTCCTCTGTGGTGTCACGTGGAAAGCCTCTAACATACACACTGCGCTCTTGCTGTTGTTGCCGTTTGTCTCTTTCCTCACAAAGACGAACATGCCTCCGTCCACGCAGGTGGTCAGTGAGGCTGGGACCTGTGGATTATGAAGTTAAAGATGAGTAGTGACCAGAAAACAAAACAAATTATATATATATATATATATACACACACACATATATATATACACACACACACAAATCTCAAAAAAGTACTGGCACTCTGGGAGCGGTCCTTACCTTCGCCAAGGACCGCTTCCTAGCTGGAATGGGGGGCAAACCACAGCACTTCTGCCCACAGTCGCCGTGGCTTGACTGGGTCCCTGGAACCACTCTCTCCAGGAGCCGAATGGAGAACTCGCTCTAGCAACCCCCAGGCACTGGACGACACTCAGTCCTGGGAGCTCTAGTCTTTACAAGGACTTTCCCCGTTGAATTCTCCACACTGGAACAGTAATTAAATCCCCTTTCCCCTCCCAGTAACCAGATGACACAAAAGTTCTGTGAGTACAAGCTGGAATAATTTTATTGGCAGCTACAACTTGATCTACACTGAGTGCAGTGCAGCAGTTTTCCTCCCTAGCAAGACTCTGGATTTACAAACGTAAGCTTGTGGCAGGAGGCCCTCTTTACAGCTGACCCTTTTGGGAAGGGACACCAGACTAACACAGTCCCAGACCAATTGGATGTCTAGGGTCTGGTTAGTCTCCCCAGAGGAGGGAAGATATGTGACAAATGCCACTTTCCACAGATATTTGCCTCCTGGAGGAGTGTGGAAGCTGGTCTTCTGCCCACCTACTATGGGGCAGGTCAGTGACTTTTAAAGACCCATATTTTAGCCCCCTTGGTTCGGCACTTTCCATTTGTGCGCATAGAACCGAACGCTAGCTCCCTGTCGGCAGTTCGCATGGACACGAATAGACTTCAGGGGGACTTAGCCGCGAATGCCCTGAAACTATTTTCAGCATGAAGACTTTGTGGTTCCCGGTCGGTTCCCAGTGGCACTTAGCCGCGATTCTATGGAACTGTTTTGGGCATGGGACCATGCGTGCGGTCGGTCAAATTATCACTTCCAGGAAATTCCTGAACTGATCTGGGTAATTTTTCGATGTTTTGGTCACCCAGATTGGGGCTATCAGGGGATGTAACTTTTGTGGGGTTTTAATGTATTTTTAAGGTACTTTTGGGGTGTTTGGGAAATGTGTGTTTTTTTGTGCTTGGAGATAATGGAGTTTAATACAGTGCTTGACTCAATTATCTCCCATGCACAGGGGAGGTATTATCCTGTTTTGTATGGGAGTGTCCTGGACCTGAGAGCCAATGTAATTGTGTGTATGTCTTTACTGTAGTCTACTCTCAGGTCCAAGGGGGGTGCCCCTTGCATGGGAACCTGCATATAAGGCCAGTTGTGGCTGCCAATAAATCTATTCCAGCATGTACTCTCAGAACTGTGTCATCTGGTTACTGGGAAGGGAAAGAGCTATTCTTTAATCACTGTTCCAATATGGAGGATTCTACGGGGAAAGTCCTTGTAAGGACTAGAGCTCCCAGGACTGAGTGTCATCCAGTGCCAGGAGGTGTCTAGAGCAAATTACCTATTCTGCTCCAGGAGGTAGCGGTTCCAGGAGCCCAGTCAAGCCACGGCTATTGTGGGCAGAAGCAGAACTTGGCGGAGGTACCTAGCCAGGGGTACAGGGAGCTCCGTTACAAGAGCAATAAGCACTTTTGTCTCTATTTACAGTTTATTTTCTTAACACATATGCTAGAATGAGGGAATATACCTCCCTTTGAACATTATGGCAATTTACCATTAATTATTTTTTAAGCATTCTTATATCCTTATGGTCTATATTCTTCATATTTGACGTCCCTTGGCGCTGGGTCAGGCTCCGCCCACGTTCCTCCCCCACCGGGGAGACCTAATGTGCATGCGCGGCAATGGCCATGCGCTATAGACCTCCCCATAGGAAACCATTATTCAATGCTTTCCCATGGAGATTCCGGCGATGCATTGCCTGAGGATGTCCTGCGTTGTTTAATTTTTTTTAGTGTTTTAAGAACCCCGGAAGTCCCTCTAGTGGCTGTTTGATAGACAGCCACTAGAGGAGGACTTAACCCTGCAAGGTAATTATTGCAGTTTATAAAAACTGCAATAATTACACTTGCAGGGTTAAGGGTGATGGGACTTGGCACCCAGACCACTCCAATGGACAGAAGTGGTCTGGGTTCCTGGAGTATCCCTTCAAGCCTGGATAAATATCACTGGTATCCACTAGAATGCATGCAGACCACACAGAGTAATAGAAAATGAGCATTTACAGTCATCACTCACTGTACTAACTACTTAAAAGCAGCACTGACACATACGTTGCAAAGACCCCTAAATGGTGACATGCCGGATTGTCACTTTATTTGATGCTCTCTTAGATTCTGCCATCGTCAATGTGGTGAACATATTCAGCTCCTGGCACTTCATTTACCAGGAGCCATGTCAATATCTCACGCTCATGAATGCACTAAAACACAAGACAGAGGTCTTTGAAGGATCACGAGAGCCTCCACAGATCAACTCTTGCAACGTGTGAGAAGAAGTTGGTTCCTACAGCGTCTCTAGCAACTGTTATGTGAAGTGATATAACTTGAAAGCACAAGCTCTGCCTTTTTATCAAATTTTGTGAACTTTGCTTTAAACTCAAGATAACATAGTCCTTACTTTGTCTTACGATATAGTTTGAATATGCTGTCATTTCTATAAAATTCCAATATAGTAGATATAAGTATTTCATAAAATACTCAAATGTAATGTGCCGCTTGTAAATTGTAAATGTACGTCGCTTTAAAGCACAAAAAAGGTATAGATAATGTGCTAGTAAACTTGCAAATACATCTATATGGATTACATTTGTTCTCTCAAGCCACTGTGTAGCACAAATGTACATTGCCATTTGCTAACACGCTTCTACAATGTAGAATAATAATTTCATTCTATGCAAGGTGACGAACTACTACAATATTTAAAGAGACACTATAGTCACCAAACTTTATCTTAATGAATCAGTTTTATTGTATAGATCATGACCGAGCAGTGCTCAATTTTCTGCCATTTAGGAGTTAAATCACTTTCTTTATCCAGCCCTGGTCACACTCCCCTGCATGTAAAATGCACAGCCTTCCTAAACACTTCCTTTATTGCACAGTCTGTTTAATTTAGAATGTCTTATCTCTACTCTGTCAATAGCCTGCAGGAGCCTACTGTATGTGATTAAAGTTCAATTTGCAGAGCAGGAGATGATAACGTCTAGAGTATGTTACTATTTGATTGAAAATTAAGCCATTTTTATTTTTTAAGACGTGATGGATTTGCCCATTATACCATGGATAAGGCTAGGGATTTGGGTTTTTATTCAGACTGTGAGGCTGTGATTTTTACACAGTAATGTATTAGCAGGACTGCCCATTGCCTGTACTGCCTTTATCACACGATAACAGTAAACACAGTGTCAGTGCAGGAACGTAACCTCCTCCTCCTGGTACTGAGGGACTTAATCACTTAACGAATCCACCCCCCAGGCCAGGGGTCCTCAAACTCCTGCCCCCCAGATGTTGCTGAACTACAACTCCCATGATTCTCTGGCTATCTATGGAATTCATAGAATCATGGGAGTTGTAGTTCAGCAACATCTGGAGGGCCGGAGTTTGAGGACCCCTGCCGGTGACGTCACGGGCTTACTCACGGTTCGGGATGCTGACTCCGCACAGGATGCATCGGTAGCCGCCCCGGTCCGAGGACCGAACATCCTCAGGAACAGCCTGCACGTCCCCAGCCTGCTCGGCCGCCATGCTGCAGGGAGAATAGCACAGCTTCCGGCGCACACAATGTACGTCACCACGCACCACCAGCAGCCGGTCACCTGGTCTGATTTTCGGCAGGGGCGGGGCCACTTCATGAATATTCATGACAATGAGCCTGCGTCACGCATATTAATGAGCCGAGAAGACAAAGGAGCCGGAGAGGTGAGTGAGTGTGTCCTATGAATGAGCTGAGAGGATGTATAGAGGGGGAGGGGTGACTTATTCCCAGGGCCTTATACACAGAGGGAGGGAGGGAGAGGGAGGTGTAATGGTGCTCCTACCAATAGCTCCCCCTTCTCCTTGTCATCATCTCCCTCTCCATTCTGCAATTACCTCCACTGGGTCCCAGCAGCCTGCTCATAGCATCAATCCTCCCAGGACATGGACTGAGGGGGGGCATGGGGCAGAGAGGGACATGGGACATGGACTGAGGGGGGGACATGGGGCAGAAAGGGGGAGCATGGAGCAGAGAGGGGACATGGGGCAGAAAGAGTGGAGCGGAGAGAAAGGGACATGGGGCAGAGAGGGACATGGGACATGGACTGAGGACATGGGACATGGACTGGGGGAGGGACATGGGGCAGAAAGGGGAGGCATGGAGCAGAGAGGGGGACATGGACTGAGGGGGGGCATGGGGCAGAAAGGGGGAGCATGGGCAGAGAGGGGGCATGGGGCAGAAGGGGAGCATGGAGCAGAGAGGGGACATGGACTGAGGGGGCATGGGGCAGAAAGGGAGCATGGAGCAGAGATGGGACATGGACTGAGGGGGGCATGGGGCAGAAAGGGGAGCAGAGAGGGGGACATGGACTGAGGGGGCATGGGGCAGAAAGGGGAGCATGGGGCAGAGGGACATGGACTGAGGGGGACATGGACTGGGGGGACATGGGGCAGAGGGACATGGACTGAGGGAGGGGCATGGGGCAGAAAGGGAGCATGGCAGAGAGGGGACATGGACTGGGGGACATGGGGCAGAAAAGGGAGCATGGAGCAGAGAGGGGGACATGGACTGGGGGGACATGGGGCAGAAAGGGAGCATGGAGCAGAGAGGGGACATGGACTGGGGGACATGGGGCAGAGAGGGAGATGGGGCAGAGATGGGACATGGACTGAGGGGGCATGGGGCAGAAAGGGGAGCATGGGTGGGAGGGGGGACATGGGACATGGACTGAGGGGGCATGGGGCAGAAAGGGGAGCATGGGGTCGGAGGGGGACATGGGACATGGACTGAGGTGGGGACATGGGGCAGAAAGGAGAATGGGGCAGAGGGGACATGGGACATGGACTAGGGAGCATGGGGCAGAGAGATGGGACATGGACTAGGGGGCAGAAAGGGAGCATGGGGCAGAGGAGGGGACATGGACTGAGGGGCATGGACTGAGGAGGACATGGGGCAGAAAGGGGGAGCATGGGGCAGAGAGTGGGGACATGGGGCAGAGAGATGGGACATGGACTGAGGGGGGGGGGCATGGGGCAGAGAGGGGGGACTGTGAGAAGTATCAGCCTGTATTACCCTGTATCATGGAGCTCATGGAAGGGGAGCTGACTAAACGTCTGCATTTCAAAGGAAAACTTTAATGGGGTATAAATAACTTAATATAACACAGTATTTATTAACTACTTTAAAAAACATAACCACTACTACCATACTGGGTTATGAGGCTATGGGTACAACCGCTGTCAAGTGTTTTGATAAAAAACATTTTTTTTAAAACAGAGAAAAAAGATTTCTCCAGCACCCTAAACCCACCCATACTCCGTCAGCTGGAGGAGATGTCGTAAAAAGGTCCTAATTTTTCTTCCAAATATTTGTGCGGCACTGCGGTATAGGATGGTTTGGCTTATCCTAACCCCAGTTTTCTGGCAAAGTTTGATATAAATCAAGACTCTCGTCAACCAATATCTTGTTCATCACAGCCGCTCAGTTAATGCAGAAGTTTCATTTTTTTCTTCATTACCTGTCCAACTTGACTAATCAGTGATGGCAGTTCGAGAGAGATGATGTAACTCGCTCCCGAGTACCTCCAGCCTATCACTGCCATCCAAGAATGTTTGATATAAGGGCTTGGTTTGGTGCTGTGGAAAAGCCTTGTTTTTTTTGTCAAACTGCCTGAGAACGGTTTGATGAAAGCCATGGAATGGCACCAGAAGACTCTGTGCACTTTAACTACATTAATAACAGTAGTGGACATGCCACTTTAATTCACTTCTTTGAATTTTTGAACATTTCTGTTAAAGGACCACTATAGTGCCAGGAAAACATACTCGTTTTCCTAGCACTATAGTGCCCTGAGGGTGCCGCCACCCTCAGGGACCCCCTCCCGCCGGGCTCTGGGGAGAGGAAGGGGTTAAACACTCACCTTTCTCCAGTGCCAGGCGGGGAGCTCTCCGCCTCCTCTTCGGCTGCGCGCGTATTCAGCCAGTCTCATAAGAAAGCATTCATAATGCTTTCCTATGGACGCTGGCGTCTTCTCACTTTGATTTTCACAGTGAGAAGCAGGCAAACGCCTCTACCGACTGTCAATGAGACAGCCTTTAGAGGCTGGATTAACCTATTTATAAACATAGCAGTTTCACTGAAACTGCTATGTTTATTAAAAAAATGGGTTAATCCTAGAGGGACCTGGCACCCAGACCACTTCATTAAGCTGAAGTGGTCTGGGTGCCTAGAGTGGTCCTTTAAGCAGCACAAGTGCTATTATCATCCTTTATGTTTCGGCCTTTGAATCTTGGATCCAGCAGATTTGTTGGAGCATCTATAGGACGGCAACATTTTAATTATTTATCTATAAAATATTTTACCAGCAAGGATACATTGAGATTTCTCTCTTTTTCAAGTATGAACTGGGCCCAGAGACATTCCATTGTTACAATAAGGTACAATATAATATTAAAAAACACATGTAAGTTTATTCTATAATGCTTTCTCACAAGCTGGAACCTACTATTGTGGCAATACCAGCTTGTTTGTTACGCCATGCACAGCAAAAATATATATATATATTTTTTTAAATTTAAAAAAATACACATAAAAATTTAACACAGAACAGATAAGAAATATAATCAAGCATGATTACAGGTGCATTCTGCATTGAAATATGTTAACAGCAATCTTTTAAGACTGAAGGAAGATTTAATTGTCTGTGATGTTATTCCTTAATTGCGATGCTCTATAGGAATTTGCCGATTTCCTAATTACATCTTTTACTTTATTGTCCCTTATATTTGTAAATACTTTAGCTTAATGAAGCAGTTGTGGTGTATAGATCGCGACTCATGCGTTTCACTGCTCAATTCTCTGCCAGTTAGGAGTTAAATCACTTTGTTTATGCAGTCCTGGTCACACCTTTCTGCATGTGACTTACACAACCTTCCTAAACACTTCCTGTAATTAGTCATCTAATGTTCACACTTCCTTTATTGTAAATTCTGTTTAATTTAGAATTTCTTATCTCTTGCTCTGTTAATAGCTTGCTAGACCTTGCAGGTGCCTCCTGTATGTAATTAAAGTTCAAATTACAGAGCAGGAGTTAAACCTTTAATGTAATTTATGTCTGATTCAAAGTGAAACCATTTTGTTTTCAGGCGGTGTCAGCAGGGCCGCCATCAGAAATTTTGGGGCCCCTAACACAGCTCAAGGTCTGGGCCCCCGGGTGCCCGCCTCCAAATCCCACCCACAGGAATACACACACACACACATACACACACAGAAAGATACACACATACTTACAGATACAAATACCGAAACAGACACACACATACAGGCATACTGGCACACACACATATGCATAAGTAGATACAGATACACACACACACACTGACATACATACATACTCACATACACACATACTGACACACACATACACATAAACATGCAGACATACATACTGACAGACATACATACTGATATATACATACAGGTATACAGGCATACATACACATACTGGCATATATACATACAGGCATGCATACACATATGCATATACATACACATACTGGCATACATACATACAGGCATACATACACATACATATACATATATACACACACAATTAACTTTTCAGCCACCCTCCTCTTCCTTACCTTTGCATTGCAGGAGGGTGGCTGGGGATGATGGGCGTCGGCTGCCTCTCCTCTCGGCCTTCAGGCTGCGTCCTCCTTCCCGTGCGGAGTAAGCTGGGAGGAAGTGACCGGCCGTCACTTCCTCCCAGCAGCAATTGCGCTACGGCTGCATTTTTTTTTTTATAAAGGGGCTGACCGGGCCCATGAAGATTATAGGGCCCGTTGGGTAGCCCTAAATGCTTGGGCCACCTGATGGGCCCCATCAGCGTGTGGGCCCTGGTGCAAATGCAAATCCACGTGGGGCCCGGGCCGTGACAACCATCATGTTTGTCACCCCCTGATGGGGGCCCTGTGTGTCAGTCACAGCCAGGGGAGGTGTGGCTAGGACTGCTTAAACAGAAACAAAGGGATTTAACTCCTAAATGGCAGTGAATTGAGCAGGTAATCTTCAGAGGCACAATTTATACACCAAAACGGCTTCATTAAGCTAAAGTATTTTTTGGGTGACTATAGTATCCCATTAAAGCACAGCTCACTAAGAGTAGTTTTCCAGTTTGGCTATTTTGACCTTACATTTTAAACTCACCTTGAATTCTCATTTTAGTAACTATAATCCATGCTGTTGCTTTTTTTTTTTTAAACAATGCTGTTTTTGTTTTAGTAAAATTTCAAAGATTGCTGCTCTACCCCTTCCAGTTTTATTAGTTTCAGTATATAACATGCAAACTTTCACCTATTCACCCGCATGGTGGAAATAGCAAAATTAAGTTAACTTTTGATACACAGCTTCCCTTCAGTTAACTCCCAATATGGTAAACCAATAACCGTATATAAACAAAATGTAGGGATCCAGCTGATATCACTCAAACAAATAAATTAAAACAAAACTTAGTATAATACTGTTATAGCCTCTTGTAGCAAGACTACTGTATTTTGTTTATTATTTTCAGTGTCACTAAATTTTTTTAAATTCTCGATTCATGAAGACTGCTGCTAAAATATGAGTAGCTTTCTTTAGCTCATCTGTACATTTTTTTAAGTTTGTCAATTTGATTTATTTCATTAAAAGGACAGCGTTAAACACCAAATTCACGTAATCTTTATAAAATAAGGTTTGGGGCATAGATGAGTTATATTTAGTGGCAATTTAAAATTATTTATTTGTGATTTGTATGTGTTTTCTAAATATAAAGAGAATAAGGAGCACAGGGGACTAAGAAATAGATTTTTTTAAAATAAATTATCCCTTTAAGAAACAAATTTAGCTCATAACATGCACATATTAGTGCAGCAATAGGTGTATAATCATCGGTAATGCTCTCCCATGGTGTCTTTGTGTTTTATATATATATTATATTATATTACATTGCGTTATCAAAGCAAACACTTTACTCGCAACTTGTTTTCGGTTAGAACACAAATAACTTGATGCACAGTAGTTGCATGAGATGTTATTGCACTTGCACAGTAATAGTAACCTTCCATAGACATATTACATAACCTGGCACCGGGGCTTGCTTGAAGAGACATGGCATGACATGGTAAGGATGGTGACAATGAGGAGGGACTTTGTTGGAAAGTACATCTCCTTAAAGGACCACTATAGTGCCCGGAAAACATACTCGTTTTCCTGGCACTATAGTGCCCTGAGGGTGCCCCCACCTTCAGGGTCCCCCTCCCGCCCGGCTCTGGAAAGGGGAAAAGGGGTTAAACTTACCTTTTTCCAGCGCTGGGCGGGGAGCTCTCCTCCTCCGATCCTCCTCTTCTCCTCCTCCTGGGCTGAATGCGCCGCGCGGCAAGAGCTGCGCGCATTCAGCGGTCACATAGGAAAGCATTCATAATGCTTTCCTATGGACGCTGCGTGCTCTCACTGTGAAAATCACAGTGAGAAGCACGCAAGCGCCTCAGTGGCTGTCAATGAGACAGCCACTAGAGGATTAGGGGAAGGCTTAACCCATTCATAAACATAGCAGTTTCTCTGAAACTGCTATGTTTATAAAAAAATGGGTTAACCCTAGCTGGACCTGGCACCCAGACCACTTCATTAAGCTGAAGTGGTCTGGGTGCCTAGAGTGGTCCTTTAAGAGCTCAGGTGCCAGCATACACAAAGCCATCATCTTGGGAGTGCAAAAATACAAAGACCTCACAAATGACAGTCCTATCTTGGGCAACATCCATATAGTGGTATTTTATTTTCTTGCCTTTAACACTGCAGTGGCAAGAGCCTTTTTGTGGATCACAGGAACCTTAACTTCAACTATCACTCTATTATGTAGGGTTTACGGACATCTTCATCCACTCCTGTCATCTTTCCTTTGCAGTTGGCATCATATGATTCACTTTCACATAAAGTAAGGGGTTATATACCCTGTATATCTGGGGTAGGTAACCTTCCGCACTCCAGATGTGGACTACATCTCCCATAATGAGGACAAAGCATTAAGGGAGAGGTAATCCACAACATCTGGAGTGATGAAGGTTACCTCGATATCATTTCAGAGATTTTGCCAGGCAGGCGGGGAATCTAATCTGAACAATTTATTTGTGTAGGCAACATGGCCAAAATAGATGAAAGATTTTCTCTCAAACTTCAGAAAACTCCAAAGAGCAAATCTAGCCTTGATTCATTTTCAGGACTATCATAAAGGATATATAACATGAAGAAAATAAATCGCAAACATGAAGAACATATATATAAAGTACTTAAGAAAGAAAATCTAAAACATTAAGAATTTTATTTGTCTTCTTGGATCATAAAGCATTGAGTAATATTAAAGATAATGCATTGAGGGTAGGTAATGGAACCTATATTGATAAAAAAAACAAGTTACTGGTACCGTTGTAGTTAAGATCCGAGTGTGCACACTCTAGGGCTCCCAAAAGTGGAGAGAGAGAGGGTAGGGCAAAAAACTGTCCCAACTCAAAGTATAAATGTGAACAAAAATATAGAATTATGGATCTTGGATCTTAACTACAACAGTATCAGTAACTTGTTTTTTTTATCAATATATGTTCTATTAGCCTCTCTGCTAATACACATTTTGGTCTGTGAGACAGTCCATAAAAAGCAATAGGGGGGAACTGTGCAGACAGGGGTACATACACTTAAAAACATTTACAAGAAGAATTTTCCAGCTTGATGCCTATATACTTAGCCATGAAGCTTTAGCCCCACCTTCAACACTGTAAAGAATGATATTTAATCCAAAAAACAAATTGACCTTTCATTCAGCCTCAAAATAATAAGGGTAGCTTGTTGACTGTATTTGGGCAAGCGTGTTAATTCCCAAACTTAGGCAGAAACAGTGAATGCAGTCCAATAAATGGTGATATATACATAATAAATGCTTCTTACACATACCGTATTTTTCGCTCCATAAGACGCACCTCACCATAAGACGCACCTAGTTTTTAGAGGAGGAAACCCAGAAAAAAAAAATATTCTGAACAAACTGTTCCATAGTGTTTCTTACCATGGGACGGTTTGTTCAGAATATTTTTTTTTCTCCCCTGTCCCATAATGATCTTTAACCCCCCTTTCCTCTGTCCCATAGTGATTGTTAACCCCTCCTACCCTGTCCCATAGTGATTGTTAACCCCTCCTACCCTGTCCCATAGTGATTGTTAACCCCTCCTACCCTGTCCCATAGTGTTCTTTAACCCCTCCTCCCCTTGTCCATTAGTGTTCTGATCCCATAGTGTCCCCCCCTCCCATTGTGCACTTTCCCTCCCCTGTCCCATAATGATCTTTAACCCCCCCTTTCCTCTGTCCCATAGTGATTGTTAACCCCTCCTACCCTGTCCCATAGTGTTCTTTAACCCCTCCTCCCCTTGTCCATTAGTGTTCTGATCCCATAGTGTCCCCCCCTCCCCTTGTCCCATAGTGTCTCCCCCCCTCCCCTTGTCCCATAGTGTCTCCCCCTCCCTTTCTCCCATAGTGTCTCCCCTCCCTTTCTCCCATAGTGTCCCCCTCCCCTTGTCCCATAGTGTCTCCCCCCCTCCCCTTGTCCCATAGTGTCTCCTTCCCTCCCCTTGTCCCATAGTCTCCTCCCCTCCCTTTCTCCCATAGTGTCCCATTCCCCTTGTCCCATAGTGTCTCCCCCTCCCCTTGTCCCATAATTACTTACCTGTCTTGGAGCGTGGGCCGGCTTCACAGCGCGCTCCGCGGTCCAGGAACTTCTATTTCAGGTTCCGGTTTCCGGCGGGACTGAAAGGAAGTGTGCACACTGAGTGTGCACCTCCTTTCAGTCCCGCCGGAAACCGGAACCTGACATAGAAGTTCCTGGCCGCGGAGCGCGCTGTGAAGCCGGCCCACGCTCCAAGACAGGTAAGTAATTGTTCACATTCGCTCCATAAGACGCACAGACATAGAGATGCATTGAATGCACTTTGTGCAGCACTACCCCAGGAAGAATCTCTAGTGGCCATCTGAGGAGTGGCCACAAGAGGTGCTCCTATTCTGTAATGTAAACACTCAGTTTTCTCTGGTGACTATAGTGTCCCTTTAAGTGTAATTAAGTGTCATTTTGCACAACTTTAAGTGTCATTTTGCACAATTTTTGTAAGCATTATATTACAGACCAGTAACAGTTCCTTGTAATGATTTATTTTTCATCGGAAAGATGTAAAACAAAACATGTGAGTAGGTATTAGCGTTAAAGCAGCTTGACAATGAGAGGCATCACGTTCCACTACTTTTTTATTTTTTAGAGTTTAGTTTTTTTTATTTACTAAAGTAGTTTCACTTATATACAGCCCTACATTTTGAAGCACACATTGACAAGTAAATACGCACACATGAACAGGTACAAATTGGATGTAGTTAGAGCGAATGTTAGACTCTTCCCTTAAACTGACACGCCACTGCCCAAACACAATATAAATAGAAATCACTGTTTAGTAGATATACCCCAATTTAAAACTAGAGTGTATTTAATTATGTATTTTTTCCATTGAGGCATATCTTAAAACAGCTTGCAAAAGTTGCAGTTCTGCCTTTGCATTCACTCCCTTTCACTTTTTGTGGCTGCCCAATCACAGATTTCCCAATACAGTTTAATGAGAAGTGTTTGCAAGGCAGGTACTCTGAGCAGCTGCTGCCTCTTGAGTTTAGCTCCACTGAGCTAACTAAACCAGTAAGTAACACAACCTGTTGTCTGTTGAAAAATCCAGGGGGTGTAACCAGGTTTAAAAAAAATATTTCAATTTTAAAATCTGCACTTTTTGCAAAATGAAATAAAGAGGAAACCTAAAGCTTGACTTGATGTTGTATATGATGAGCTGGGGCTGTGCTGGCCAAAGTTTGTTTGCTTCCTGTGTCAAAAGTAATAAAGGTGTCCCACAATCCAGAGGAGCAAAATTCTACCAACGGAAATTTTTCTTACACAAAGCACCTTTCGGACCTCCCTTCTTTTAATTAGAATAATGAAAAATGAATAAACAAATTGCATTAACAAATTTCTTCCTAGACTCAGATCTTCCTGAGCACAGACCCTGTGCTGCTTGCTCATTGATTTATTGCATCTCTAAGTACCTGAGCTTAGAATTAATGGGATTGAAAAAGCAATTAAAAGAGTGAAGACAAACATAGAATGGAAAAGAGAGAGAGCGGGATAGGCCAAGTCAGGAGAGGTGGAGGGGACAGGCAGCATGGAAAAATCATGATGTCTCCGGCTTGAACAAACTTGCATTAGTCTAAAAACAAATGAACATGTCCATTTTTGCAGTTCTCAACATCATGTTGTTTGCTCCAAATCTCACCCGATGCCTTTTGTTCCAAATATTATTATAACCCATAACTATAAGCAGCTGCCTTGAGAGCTTGTAACAGGATATTCAGCCACTTTAAAAGGCCTCTGGGGCCAATTGACCCTCCCTGTCCATTGGGACTTAGTCTCACTGTCCCCCAAACTGTTAGGCATTATCAATAACCTGTCTACCAAGAATTTATGGATAGGCAACTCCCCAACACGTTCTGCTGGCATTGTGGACATCCAAATTTTAAACTGTCTACAACAGACCTTGTAGAGGTGTCAAGAAAACTAATAAAAGAAAGGATGACCAACGAGTTATGGTGAACAGTTCTTGTAAGGGAAACTTTTGCCCCAACCTGTGATTCAAGAATAGAATGATAGAATCTGGGTTGTTCCTGGCATTAGTACAATCTGTTCTTTCCCAGAGTGGGAAACCTGTTTCTGAGTGGCTTGAGGTCTGCAGTACAATTAATGGTACCTAGAGTCTCAATTAATTCTGGCAATTTCATCTAGCATTTCACTCAGTGGGTGAGCAACATGAGAAGCCCTAGCAAAGGAAACGGCAAAGGTTTGTTACCATTGAAAGAGGAATCAAACGGATTGCTTAGTTTGGACCTAAAAAGAAAAGGCCTTTTCAACAAAATTGAACATATAATGTCTGTGTAACTATATGATTTACAGTGAGGGACTCATTGACATGCAAATCAATTTGTAACTCTTTTAACATGCGTTTTTCTATGGTTTTGTTGTTGTTATTCTGTCTCTCACTGTTAAAATACACCTACCATTAAAATCATAGACTGATAATTTCTTTGTCAGTGGGCAAATGTTCAAATCAGCAGTATGTGATTTCTCTACAGAAGTCATGATGTGTTTTTTTTTAAAATGGTTCTTTTTGAAAGTGGTGGACTGTTTAGAGGGAATGGTTTAGATCGAGTAAAAACATTTTTCACATTGGTGTTCTTTTGTAGAGCCTAATTCCATGAAGATAAAAGCAGATTGGTTGGTCATCACTTCCCATCAATGTAAGTCAGTAAGAAGACAAATGTCCCATTGTAGAAATAGTACAATATATACGTGTTTGTGTCTTTACCTTTTTTTTTTACAATTTATTTATAACCTTTGTATCTTTGCAGGTCTATATCCGTTCCCTGGAGTCTACTTTCTGTCCCAGGTATATGGCTCTTCTTCTTCTTGCCCAACGTGCACATGTACGTCGCAGACGTCGACCACCTCAGGAGCGAGTTTTTCGTGCCCGAACACAGTTCCTCAACCTACCTGAGGAAGTGGTTATGCAGCGTTATCGCCTCCACCCTGCACTCATACGCGACCTCTGTCATTTACTGGAGCGTGACCTCCAGCCCTCTACGGGGCGTTCGCATGCCCTTCCTGTCTATGTCAAGGTGACAGCTGCCCTGAACTTTTACACATCGGGTACATTCCAGACTCCAGCGGGAGATGCAGCAGGCATTAGCCAAGCCAGTATGTCCCGTTGTGTAACACAGGTTACAGAAGCCATTGTAAGACGAGCACACCGTTTTATTCGTTTCCCACGAGGTGGTGTCCAGCGCAGATCTGCAGTTCATGACTTCCAGCGGTTATATGGATTTCCAGGCACTGTGGGAGCTGTGGGGTGCACACACGTGGCATTGAAGCCTCCTTCTGATCATGAGAGTCGCTACCGAAACCGTTGGCGTTACCATTCTATGCATATGCAGGCAGTATGTGATGCAAAAGGTACACTGACACACATTGTGGCTGAATATCCAGGGTCTGTGACTGAAGAAGACATTCTGGCACAATCCAGCTTGGGGCACATGTTCCAGAACCAGGGAAAAGATGAAGAAGCATGGCTGATAGGTGAGAGTAAATGTATCAACGACTTGGAAAACATTTAGTGTTAAATATTATATGGGAGCTATTCCTTAATGGAACTACATACTGCCAACTTCTATGAAAGTGAGGCTTCACTCTCAGAAGATTGTTAAAGGGGCACTATCTATACACCAAAACTGCTTCATTAAGCTATAGTTGTTTTGGTGACTATAGTGTCCCTTTAAAAAAAATTAGCCAAGGTAAACAAATAAAAATGAACGATAATATTTAAACAGGATATGGCCGCAGCCAAGAGGACTGGAAAAAAATGGATGGTCAGGGTAAATGAGGTCTTATTCATAATTAAGTTCCTAAACAGCCAAGTAGGCAGAGCTAACCCTATAGTGATGCTGCCATGGAATAGCCCAGATATAATATATCAACTACTTGGAGAATGCATAGAGTTAATTAAAATACTTAAAAAAAAGGTAATAAAGGGACATTTTGCTTTGAAAGAAACAATGACACTTAAAAAATTTCTTTTTTTTTTAAATTTGTTTTATCAGAGCCCATTATGCGTCATTCAATGGTTAAGAAGTGCACTATAATAAGAAGCAGAAAACAAGGAAGTGGCTGTAAAACCTTGTGCAAATATAGAAAGCAATAGAAAGTTTAAGAACAAAAATAAAATAAAACACAAATGTACATTTATACATACGGCAAATAGAAGTCTTCATACACAGCAGGGGTGACCAAAAGTTATATCCCCATATGTTTTAAAACTACAGCTTCCATGATGCATTGTCATTTTTAAGGTATCTGGGGATGCCAAATTCATCTGGGGATCTACCTTTCAGGCAGCCCTGATATACAAAGTGTTACTTTGCTTGAAGGCAAAAACAAAATGGGGAAAAAAAAAACAAGTGCTATAATGGCAGAAACCATTATTCCTTAGTAGAGTGGCTGTACTGTAAACAAGTGGGTAGTCACCTCCTTAAGTGGACAAGTAGCTCTGCAAATTAAAGTAATTAAATTAGTTCCCTCCTCCCTGCCTATAAAAGGCCATACGGAGACCAATCAACTGCAAAAACTTAATTTATTCTCCAATGGGAGGGAAACATGCAGTACTGCCACTCTACTAAGAAAAATAGAATTTACAGTAAGTAAAATTACTGTTTTTCATGTCATGAGTGGCAGTACTGCAAACAAGTGGCATATGGCAAGATCCGTGAACAACCGCAACGGGTGGGAAATCAATAGGCCACTGCCTGGAGCACATTTCACCCAAAAGCAGCTTCCGAGGAAGAGAATATATCCAGCCTGTAATGTGTTAAGAAAGTATGCAGGGAAGACCAAGTTGCAGCCTTCTAACACCCTCTTAACATCCAGGCAGCGCCATTTCTTCTCAGAGTCAGAAGATTGAGCTTGGCAGAAAGAAGGTAGAACGATAGCTTGGTTAAGGTTACGTCTGGAGAGAACTTTCGGCAGAAAAGACGGATTCGGGTGTAAAACCACTTTATCTTCATGAAAAACTAAACTCAGAGGAGGATGATGGAGATTACAATTCTCCAACCCTTCTAGAGGTAACTGCCACCAAAAATGATGTTTTCATTGATCAAATTTTCAAAGGCCTTGAGAACAACAGACAAATCCCATGTGGAGGACGTTTCAGAAAAACACCTTTAAAATAAACCTACGAATGAGCCTGTTGGATGCCAAATCTTGAAGCAGGAAATGTCCGAGGGCCGACACCTGCACCTTAAGAGTAGACAGATAAGACCAGCATAGAACCCGTCTTGCAAAATTGAAAGGATGCACGGAACAGATGGATTAAAAGAGAGACAACCATTCTGAGAACACCAATGCAGGAACTTCTGCCAGATCCTGAGGTAAATCTGAGAAAATCACTAATACTGTCAGACATGCCCTGGGCTTTAAGGATCATCCTTGCAGCAACCATGCCATCAGTTGGAACAGCTTATTTGGTCTCCACCGGAGGATCTTTGTTTTCCAGAAGATCGCTTGAACAAGGTCTATTACCATCCGATCGACCTCCGAGAACCAGCTCCTGTTTGGCCAAAAAGGTAAAATCGCCAAGATCCTGGCCCCGTCTGATCTTATTTTCTGCACGATGTGGTGGATCAAAGCTACTGGAGAAAAAAAAGATACGCCATGCTGAACTTCCATGGCATTGAGAACCCGTCCAGGATGTAAGGATGATCTTCAGTAATGGAAGCACATTTTTGAACCTTTGCCTTTTGTGGCCATTAGATTGATATCTGGTAGACCAAAGTGCTTGACCAGCTTCACAAAGACTAGGGGGCAAAGAGACCATTCTGACTGTGTACAACGCGGTCGGCTTATATCGTTCCGTGATTCCCTTGATGTACGTTGCTGAGATTGATTCTAGATTTTCCTGAGACAAAGAGACTGCAGAGAAACACCTTCGTACCGCTATGTCGGTTTAGGTATGTGACAGTTGTGACATTGTCTGACTGAATTCTCACAGACTTTCCCCTTATGACTGGTTTGGAAGCTGCAAGGGTGTTCCAAACAGCTTTCATCTCTCTGAAATGTAAGGACTGGGCAGCTTCTTCTGTAGACCATATTCCCTGCTGAAAATGGGATCCTAGATGTGCCCTCCAGCCTTTTATCGATGCGCCCGTGATTCAATTTGACTGTTGGAAGGACAGACCGATTTCTAAAAATTTTGACTTCTTCCACCAAATATCCAAACCTGCATTATAAATAACATTCGGATTTTTAAAATAGAGACTTTAGTGAATCTCACCTCAAAAAAACTCACTACCGTGTGGGAGGGCTGGTGACACGGTGTACCACTGCTTACAAACACTCTTGGTGAAAGCAGGGCCATGTACGGAATAAATAGGCTTAACATTTTGCGCCAAAAAATGAAGTTCCGAACCACGCATGAGCAGTAGCGGTCGGAACTTCAGTGGAATGCAAGGCCATCCGGGCGTGCGTTCAACTATGTGCAGGTGCACGGCCTGCAATGAGATTGGAGGGCCGCCTGGGACCTCTTAAAAGCATTAGCCGGCATAAAATCTACCCTCCACTTACGCTCTGTAACAAGATGTGGAAGGGCGCCACTCAGATCAACCACCCAGGGGGAGCTTTCGGGTCTTGTTCCCCCAGGCGTCATCCCGTGAGCCTCACCAGCCTTGATCTGAGCTACCTGTCTATCCCGATGCTGTGACAAGAAGAACTGTGGATGTTTTGGAGATATGGCCTTTTATAGGCAGGGAGGAGGGAATTAATTTAATTTGCAAAGCTACTTGTCCACTTAAGGAGGTGACTTCCCACTTGTTTGCAGTACTGCCACTCACAACCGGAAAATAATACTCTGTATATGAAGACTTCTATTTGCCATATGTGCGTATATTTGCACGTTGTTTTTGTTTCATTATTAATTTTTTGTTCTTTCAAAGGGTTTGTTAAAATTATTGTTCTTTAGGTCTCTTTATAGGGACACTCCAGACACCAACACAGCTTTAATGCATACAATTTCTTTTGCCCTCATAATTAAGCTGAATTTTGCATGCTCAATTACTTTTAAAGGAACACTATAGTCACCTAAATTACTTTAGCTAAATAAAGCCGTTTTAGTGTATAGATCATTCCCCTGCAATTTCACTGCTCAATTCACTGTCATTTAGGAGTTAAATCACTTTGTTTCTATTATGCAGCCCTAGCCACACCTCCCCTGTCTATGATTGACAGAGCCTGCATGAAAAGAAAAAAAAATGGTTTCACTTTCAAACAGATGTAATTTACCTTAAATAATTGTATCTCAATCTCTACATTGAACTTTAATCACATACAGGAGGCTCTTGCAGAGTCTAGCAAGCTATTAACATAGCAGGGGAAAAGAAAATCTTAATTAAACAGAACTTGCAATAAAGAAAGCCTAAATAGGGCTCTCTTTACAGGAAGTGTTTATGGAAGGCTGTGCAAGTCACATGCAGGGAGGTGTGACTAGGGTTCATAAACAAAGAGCTTTAACTCCTAAATGGCAGAGGATTGAGCAGTGAGGCTGCAGGGGCATGTTCTATACACCAAAATTGCTTAATTAAGCTAAAGTTGTTCAGGTGACTATAATGTCCCTTTAATTAAAAAAAAAAAAATGCTGCTTTCACATCCTGAAAGCCTGGCCCCATACACCTTGCTGGAGCTCATTTGCCCAATTTACATAGTTACATAGCTGAAAAGAGATGCGTCCATCAAGTTCTGCCTACCTCACATTTGTTTTTTGCTGTTGATCCAAAAGAAGGCAACAAAAAAACCCAGTTTGAAGCACAATTTTGCAACAAGCTAGGAAAAAAAGTCCTTCTTGACCCCAGAATGGCAGTCAGACTTATCCTTGGATCAAGCAGTTATTACCCTACATTGAAAGATTATATCCTTGAATATTCTCTCTTCTTGCAAGTATGCATCTAGTAGCTGTTTGAACATCTGTATGGACTCTGATAAAACCACTTCTTCAGGCAGAGAATTCCACATCCTGATTGTTCTTACAGTAAAAAAAACCTTTCCTGTGCCTTAGACGAAATCTTCTTTCTTCCAGTCTAAATGCATGGCCTCGTGTCCTATGTAAAGTCCAGTTTGTGAATAGATTTCCACACAATGGAAATTGGCCCCGAATATATTTGTATAATGTTATCATATCCCCTCTCAGGCGACGTTTTTCTAAACTAAATAGGTTTAAATTTGTTAACCTTTCTTCATAGCTGATATGTTCCATTCCTTTTATTAATTTTGTAGCCCGCCTCTGCACTTTTTCTAGTGCCATAATATCCTTCTTTAGAACAGGTGCCCAAAATTGCACAGCATATTCAACATGGGGTCTTACCAGTGATTTATAAAGAGGCAAAATTATATTCTTGTCCCAAGAATGAATGCCCTTTTTCATGCATGACAATACCTTACTGGCCTTGGCCACTGCTGATTGACATTGCACATTGTTGCATAGTTTGTTGTCTATAACAATTCCCAAGTCCTTTTCGTGTGTTGTTATCCCTAATTCGCTTCCATTAAGGGTATACGTTGCATGTGTATTCTTTACGCCGAAGTGCATAACTTTGCATTTTTCAACATTAAATTTCATCTGCCATTTGAGTGCCCAGTCCCCCAGTCTATCTAAATTCCTCTGCAGCAAAGTAATTTTATGCCTGTACATCATTAATATACAATTTTTACTGCACATTTTTTTTTATCCATTATACAATCTAGGTAGAGCAAAAAATCACCAATAAGTCAAATGATAGGTGATGCCCATGTCTTCGGATTGTAAACAGTTAATCGTAGTCTTCGTTGTAGCATTAAGCTTATCAATTATATAAAGGGATGTGGCTTGTTTGGGCCAAGGACAAGCTGAAAGTATGGTTTTTTTTGTACTAAAACTTAGTGTTTATCAAAAGGAGGCCACTTCTGAATTAGGTTATATAGACAGCAACTGTGTGTATGTTACAAGTGTAATGTTTTTCATCAGAGTAGGGACACTATTGGTACCACAACTTTAGCTTAATAAAGCCATTTTAGTGTATAGAATGTGCCCCTGCCATCTTACTGCTCAATTCTCTGCCATTTAGACGTTAAATCACTTTATTTATGCATCCATGGCCATACCTCCCTGCATGTGACTTACACAGCTTCCTAAACACTTCCTGTAAAGTCATCTAATGTTTACACTTCCTTTATTGAAAATTCTGTTTAAGAATGGATCTCCAGCACAGTTAATAGATTTCTAGACCCTGCAAGAGCCCCCTGTATGTAATTTAAGTTCACTTTACAAGATAGCGGGGGGGGACCTTTAAAGTAAGTTCTAGTTGTGATTGAAAATAAAACCATTCTATTTTCATAGTCTGTCTGAGTCACAGCCAGGGGAGCTGTTACTAGGGATGCATACAAAGAAAAATGTTTCATTAACCCTTTAAGGACCAAACTTCTGGAATAAAAGGGAATCACGACATGCCACACATGTCATGTGTCCTTAGCCAAAGTGTTTTGTTAACTATAGTGCCCCTTTAACTGTTATGTTTGATATAAAGGTCATACTTTCTTCATTTTACTCTGTTCTCATCTATATTATATACAAATGATAAAACAAGGACATTAATGCATAATACATTTTGGTTTTCCCATTATTCACAAACTGTTTGCTCTGGTGTAGAGTGTGCTTATGAGCAGACTTCTATGTGTCCCTAAGCCCCATGGAGACAGACTATCAAAGCACATCAGTCTTCTGGTTGTAAAGCACAATAAATTTTATCTTACATGGGTTTGCAGTGGTGTTCATTCTAATAAACTGTACAGTAGAGTTAAGTGGAGTCATTTTATGAAAATTAGGTTTGGGGGATCTGTAACTACAGCATACACCTGCTCTTACAATTTCATATTGCTCTAAAATTCTCTAGGAGGGCGCTGTTATACCCAGAAGCCTTGGCTGATGACCCAAGTAGAAAACCCACAATCACCAGCAGAGTTGAAGTATAATGCCTCCCATGCAGCAGCCCTCAGTGTAGTCTCTCGTGCATTTTGCTGTTTGAAATCAAGATTCCGGTGCCTAAGCAGACGTGGAGGATCGCTACAGTACAGCCCGTTAAAAGTTAGCCAAATATTTGTGGCATGTTGTGTACTGCATAATATGGCACTAAGTCATGGCCAAGAAATTCCAGCAGAGGAGAGAGATGATGTAAGTGAAGGAGAAGCTGGGGAAGAAGGCAGTGAAGAAGCTGAGCTAGCACGTAGTGAGCTGCTAAGACGACATTTCAGCTAGAGGTAGAGTTTTTTTTTTTTATTAGAAATGGTAAAACGGCAAGTGTGTCGCATTTCCTGTAATTTTTGTTCATTAGACATTCTCCACTGAATTCTTTTTAAATTTGCAACTGTCAGGCCTTGCATGAATTGGTTTGCCTTTAAAGAAAATTATATAATGCACTACCAAATTGGATATTTATAGATGAAAAGTTAGGTGTGCAAAAGGACTTGGTTCTATACAAATGTGCAGAATTGTGGCAACAGCACTGTGGAGTTCAGAACACTATACTTTGGAAGCTTCCTGGAACTCTCAAGTAAGTATCTTGAACCAAACAAATGCTTGAAATTTTGCCAGCAGAGCATATATTAAATATACATGTACCTGATGACAAAGAACCCTCCCTTTTCAGGGTTTCCCCCTATGCTCTGGAGTTTTGGGGATCTATGTACAAATATCAGCAGGGGGTCAAGATAGTAGTTCCTTTTCACAAAGCTTACCAAGGTGAGGTGAGGCAGGGATCACTTATTGTGAAACTACACATACGCCATACTGAGCAACTTGGGGGACCAGTCACTACTGTTAGAATTTACATAAAAGGTGTTCCAGTTCCACGACCAACAACTGTCACATTAGTACTTAGATACTTACACACACTCTGTATTAGGGCTGTACTCACTGACGTCTGTCCAGAAAGTATCCAGCCATGTAATATGTAAAACAGACATTTATTGAAGAAGATACAATAAGCATTGTACATAGGACAATAATGCCTCAGTCCCCTTCAAAGTAGGCACCAGGGTACCTCACACAGTTCTCCCAGTGCCTCTTCCACTGTTTGAATTGGAACAAAATCCTTTGTTGAAATCACCATCAACTGCTTTGTCGTTTTTACATGAATCTCATCGACTGTCTGAAATCCCTTCCCTTTCAAAGGTGATTTTGTTTTTGGGAAATGCCAAAAGTCACAGGGCGCCAAATCTTTCAACAGATTCTCAACCATCGTTGAAACGTTTGTGCCACACTTTTATTTGCGCTGCACTCATTGCACATCCCCGAAAACCTTCTGAATCATTTGAATAGTTTCCGGGGAGGAATGTTCAAGCTTCGAGCAATGACTGCATCAAATTTTGCATTCTTTGCGCAGTCATTTTAAATGAGACAGCCACACAGTACAGATGCTCAACGGCGTCCAGCACCCACATTGACTAGTATGCTGAAGTAGTCATTGTTCACACATGCACAATGGCTGGTTGATTTCCGGACAGAAATCATAAATACAATCTCTCTGGGGAAAAAAAAACCCTCACACAATACAATCTACAAATATACCAATTTCTCTTCCTGCAGTGAAGATTGACAGGATAGATTATTATAAATATGCAGAATTTTTGTTTTCCTACACCACTACTGCTTGTAATATCCCTTTTGTAGTAAATAAAAATGGTCTGTTAGCTTTAGCCTTAACTTTGGCAATTTTTTGTCCAAGATGCAGAGAATATTTTTGAACACACATAACACACATAATCAGAATAACACCCCAAATGTATAAAAAACATTTACCAAGGGAACACATGAGGGTCAGTATTGAATGATAGACCGATAATCATAAGGCGACCATCTTAGAGCGCACTGGCTCTGCAAGAATAGAGTGACTGGCAGGAAGAATAGAGTGACTACCAGTCACTCATTGTAACGTGGTTAAGCCGAGCTGAACTGACAAAGAACACTTCCGATCAGTCCCGCCGGGTACAGGAAACGCTGCGCTAGGCCACGCTACAAGAGAGATAAAGAGGCACACCAGGGAGAGGACCACTGAGGTGAGAGACACACACACTAAAGGACAGGTAGGGAAGGTGAATGTAAAGGAACACTAATGGACAGGGAAGGTAGGGAAGAGGAACACTAAGGGACAGGGAAAGGAGAGGAGGGAAGGGAGAGGAACACTAAATATTCTTGAAAGGAAAAAAAAAAAATCTGACTGGCATGTATATTTAGTACATTTACCACTTAAAAAATAGAGAAAAAAGATTTGCTAAAAAAATATTTTAACATAAAATTTGCTCAGTAAACAGTAATTTGTGTAGAAATTGTTTCTTTTTTAAAAACGGTAAGTGTACAGAATATTGGTAAGTTATCTGTTCTAAAAAAATAAAAATAAACCAATATCGGTCGATCTCTAGTCAGTATGAGTAACGGAAAGTAGAACTTTGTACGGTCACTAATACAAAGGGACTGACCATGTGAAATTTTGAAGTGGGCACAACATTTTTGTTTTTACAATGGTCTCATATTTGCTTAGTTTAATAAAATCCTCTTTCTTACAGGATATCAAGAACCCCCTGTGTACTCTGAAGACCACTGTATGGGACCATTTGAATCACCCAGATAGGAGTTTCACTTGGCTTGCGTTTTGTATGACAAAACACACAAACTGTACAGAGACAAGTTTGTCCCAACTATGCTGCATGTGGCGGCTATAAAGATAGCCGTTTGAGCATGTTACCAAAGGAGTAATCAAATCAAGGACAATTAGAATTAATCAATCCCACTGCTGCCAACTCCAATAATATCACAAAGAGGGCAAATGAAGAAGCCCCATTTTTATTATGTAAACCTGGCCTTATCCAAGTTTGTTATTAAATTAAGAACTGAAGCAGTACACTATTTTCCCCATGCGCACACACACACACACAAAAGAGCACACTGTTGTCTTTTCTCCGTTTACTGGTGGAATTACAGTTTTCCTTGTACAAAAAAGCAAAAAACAAACCTAAAGAATAATTAAAAAAACAACCCAAAAAAAAAAACAACTGGGAAAATGAGCTAGGTTTAAGAGAGCCGACAAACTGGAAAGGGGTAGGGTTGGGGAGAGGAAAATATATATTAAAAATAAAGGAGATGGGAAGAATGTAAGGGAAACAAGATGTTAAGAAAGAGAAAAAAAAAAAAAAAAGTGTCCTTGATGCTGCTGTGTGGACAGTTTGTAATGTATAAATTTCAAAAGGATCGGTCTTGCTGTTCCCTCTCCCTCTGTCCTCCAACACAATTGAATGATTGGTATATACTGGCTGAACAGCACCGGTAGTCGAAAGGTTGCAGGGCAAACTCTCTGGATTAGGACGACTCTAGGATTCCCTCAGTCCTCCAGCACTATAGGCTCACTTGTACTGGCAGGATGCGCTGCACTGAGGGTGGGATGATGAACGGGCCGTGGCGTTGGCAACGGTATCTTAAACTTAAGGGGTTGATTGGGACGCCGAGCAGCTCTACGCATCTCCATGTGTGACAAAGATTTCCTTAAACATCTGTGGACATAGAACAATAAAGTACTAAGAAAGTGAGCTATCTAGAAACATGTATTAAAATGTTGGGGATATGCAGTAATGCCTAAGAGGTAATGCCTTAAGTCTTCCTTAATTTATCACCCCTGGGAACAAAGTGAATGAAGGGATAAGAATTGTGGACACCCAGAAAAAAATGACAGTGACATGTTAACAGTAGGGGGGATTAGATTAGAATAAGCTATACAGAAAGGCTCATGTGTATGATTAACAGAGGGTACTTACATAGACAGAAACTTTATCAGACAGTTCCCCAAGGGGTGCAAACTCAGACTTACTGAGAATGAAATACTGCCATCAATTTATCTTAAAAAGTCATAGGGGAGATTCTGTTACCTTGTGTCTTTAGTAGCCACAAACACTACAGGATTAGGGGCATCGGCAAGGTTGAGTTTCTGCCTCTTGACAGTGGGCTGAGTGCTGGATCGGACACCCGAGGAGAAGGATCGGCCATTTGCTGAGAATGGAGGGACCACCCCCACCCCAGACACCTAAAGACAGAGGTGTTTATTGTAAGTTTGGTGGTGTATTCAGGGGAATTAATGATACTGGACATCTCAGTAGTATCATATCACTCACTGCATCATATGTTCTCTTGGCGGGTAGCACACTAAGACCTCTGCTTTGTGTCAGCTGGTTTCGATTTATTGGAGTCTTTGTTCCTCGTGGGGTTTTCGGTTTCAGAGGAGCCTGGGCAGCTGGGGGAAGACAGGGTAATCAAAAAAAGAACATAAGAAGTAGGAAACAGTAGGAAGAGACATCATATAAACTTTCACATTTATGTTTCTTACCTAATTCTTTTACGATTGCAGCCAAGGGAGGGCGCACCAGAGGCAAAATTTTCAATGGTGTTTTAGCTGCTTTTGGAAGTCGAATAGAACCTAAAGGAAGATAAAAGCATGTCCATTTTTGGAAAAAGAGAAAGCCACTATAGAGTGGGACACAGGCTTATTTTAAGGCCGCTTACATTCTGCTTTGATCGAATTAGAATTGATAGGTGCATAGGGTCGACGAGCAGCTCTTCTTGGCTGCAGAATATCTCTGCACATCCGCCGAGCAATGCGAGTCAGTTTGGTCGTTTGGAGAAGGAAAGTCTGACGGTTCTTAGCCAGTAGTTTAGCGCGGTTGGCGCTGGTGGTATAAGGGGATATACTCTGACTTGAGAGATGACCTCGGGAATGTGATTCCTGGAATGACAAAATAACAATCAATACCATAGATCTAAAAGGAATGCATATTTAAGTTTTTTTTTTTTATGGGGAATACACTTACCCCAACATTCCGTGCTGCACCCTCAAGTTGAGTTGGAGTTTTAAGCCCTCCATACTTTTTCCAGTAGATCCAGCATGAAGCACAAAGGCGACATTGCATGTTAGGTGGACCCCAGGCATACCACTGAGCAGAGACGGTTGCTAAAGAGAAAAGGGATTGAAAAATGCATAAAATTATCTTTAGTAAAGAGATTCTAAAAATAGAAGAATTATGGAAAATTCATTATGTCAGATGAGCAATGAAAAGATAAGCATACTCAAGAATTATAGGAGCACATAACATATTGAGGAAACTTACTGTGGCAGCTCTCACAGGTCAGCCCTTTCTGAAAGCCAGCACCATTAAGTCCAGGCTTAGATCCAACAGAAATAATCTGATTGGGGTTAGGTTTGGTGCTGTGGAGAAAGAATTAAAAAAAAAAAAAAAGGTGAATGTAAATACACAATTCATGCTTCCTGCGCTGATGTAACAATAGCAGAGACTAGAAATGGTGTGAGACACATGGATCAAAATGGAAAAGACTGCCAAAGATTTGCATACCGTGGGTTTAAACATGGAAAACAAAAGCACACACCTGGCTTGTTTGACGTCAGAAGTCTATGCTGATGAAGCAATGGGTGCATCTTTATAGCAAGACTTGCATACACCATGCATGCACGTTTTCAACTTACTAGATCAAATTATACAGCCGATTTCACAGATCTAAACTGGTTCTATCTAGCATTATTAGAAGCACAAAATAGTTGGACACTTACTATGTAGGTATATAGACTTGTTTCAGTTTGCTATCAGCCTCTGCTGCCTTCAGTCGTTTCTACAAGAAAGCAAGACTAATGGTTAAAAAAAAAAAAAAATTAAGTGCATTTCCTCACTTGTTGGATTTCTAGACAAATCAAACTCTCACCTGCTGGATATATCTGTCTGTGGTTTTCCACATGTAGTAAAACTGTACAATGCTTGCGAGTGACTTCCAGGGGAGCTTGGTGAGAAAAAAAAAAAGTTACACAGTAATTCATTATTTTTTACATTATACATGCCACATATCTGTGACTCACAAAGTCTTGCCGGATGTCATTGAAGTCCTTGCCATATTTCTCAAGAGCCTCCTCAAATAGCATAGCTTCTGATGCTGACCATTCTTCCATCTCGTCCCGGCACAGAACTGGGCCACCTTGAGGAACCAGTGTAGACATTGCACGGGCCAGATCGTAACCGTTCCTTTGTAGTGTGTCCATTGCATGAAACTAGAGGAATCAGGACAAAGTTAGAAAATTCTAATACTTATCCTTTGCATGAAACAGGTATGTCCAACTTTGTGTTAACCCACTTATACATCACAGTAGTATTTTCACATCCTTCATGCCTTGGGTACCAACATAATCCATATTATTTAGGACAATCCAACTATTTTAGGATAAGTCACAGACCGAGTTCTGGGGAAAAAAAATCTCTGGTTCGCTTTGGAAAAGTAATATCAGATTGGTGGCACCTAGTTATTTTAGCAAAGCAATACATGCTACCTTAACCATGTCACTTGCTGCATAGTGGCAAGAATAAGATAATTTGTAATGCCTGTTATGCATGTATATGTAGGGTAATTGTGCCATTTGTGTGTGGTGGGGCTAACAGTGCTGATGTGTGTAAATGGGCTGTTTGTGGTATTGTTTTGTAGTGGAGGCTGTCCATTCTGTATTGTGTATATGAGATGCTTGTAGTATTGTTTGTTTATGTCGGCTGCCTTTGTGTTACGTTTGTGTGTATACTGATGTTAATTGTACTTCATTGCTTGTAGTACTTATGTCTCATGTAGGCGGTCTCTTGTATTGTGTGGGGAGGCTGCATAAGTGCTATTGTAGTGTTGTGTGGGAAGCTAGTTTGCAGGGGTGTTGTGGAGGTCTTTATGCAAAAAATATTACTTTAATAAAAAAAAATACACAGTTGCCTGATGTTTGGAAATGACAGTTGGCACATTCTGTAGGTGCAGACCACTTGTGCCTGTCACCACTCTGGTGCTATTCTGGCATTGACATAGTAAGCTGTAGCAATGGTATGAATCCCTGAGAAGCGCTAGAGTGCAAGGGAGCGTTGCCTACGGTATCTACACCAGCTGCAGTAAAAACCACTGGGTCATTTCCTGCATAATCAAAAAAAGGGTGCCTCTGGGCTGGCTGGGGAGATCCTTTTGTCTCTCCAAATGGCCAACATTTGGGTCTCGCAGTTTTGCATCCCATAAGTTTTAAACCAAGTCCCCTACTAGACATGCGCACACATCATTGGTTTAAGAGATTTTCTTAATTACATGCAGACCATGAGCACATTAACATGTTAATGTAAACTGCCAGATTAACAACACTTAAACATTTACAATTTTGACACTTGCAAGATAAAAACTGCTTTGAAAGCCAAACATGAATTGTGGACAGTGAAGGTCTCATAAAAAGAAAAGCTTAATGCTCACCAGTGTGATGTCACGGGATGCAGCAGCTGCGCTCATATGTAAACTTGGTTGTCTGATAGAACTGCTACAGTCTAAAGCTCTTGCAAATGTTCCAACCGCTCTAAAGAAACAGAAGGAAGGAGATCATCAGGAAAAGAAGTATATTATACATTTGTATTTCTGTACCAAGAGAGTATTCCCCACCTCAAGACACAAATAATTACCTGGCCACCACCAAAAATTGATCTATTTGCCTGTCTGTCAGAGGATTCTCTGGATCCCAAACTTTCATTTCCATCTTCTGCTGGTTCCGGTTATCAGACTCGCCTAACAGAAAAGAAACGACCAGGAACAGGTCAAGTAAAGGAATTTTATACCCTGGCTGCAGTATTATCTGGTAATCAGTGCTACTAAACCATGTTAGGCTAAATGGAGATTTCACTACTAAATGCTGCTTACCTTCTGCAAGCTGGTCTGGAATATCTGCCTGGTACTTTGACCCAACACGAATTTCTCCCTGATCAGCCAACAGTGTTTTTTGCACAGGATCAAACACAAGCGAGTAGAAGAAGCAGTCCTAAAGAAACAAAAAAATACAAACATGATAATACTCTACACATCTATAATGTACATACCAACAAAGGAAAAGACTGAGGTCAGATTATAAAGATGGCTACATAAAAATAGCTAAAGAGGAAGTTTGTGAAATATTTTGGGGGAGGTCTCTACAAGATCGATCACATACCTCTTTTTCCAGGTACTGGCTTAAGATATCCGTCTCATTTAGAAGAGTCACACTGCACTTTCCGCTATAGCACGAGAAAAACAACACACATTTGCATACAGTATACAAATACAGTTGATATTTAACCCCTTAAGGACTGAGGCAGTTGTACAACTTGTGAACAAAATGTAAACAAAACTTAGAATTTGCGCTATTTGTCTGTTCAACCAAATCACCTCTTTCAAATTAAATGTACGCACACTTATTATATATAATTTTATTCAGGAGAAACAAATATATCTGCATCATATTTCATATCAAATATTATATACAAAACATAACTTAATGTGAATAAAATATAATAAAAAGGTGAGAAATTAAGATTTTTTTTTAGTTATGCATGGCATTTTAACTGTGAATGTCATACTGTTCGCTTTTACAGCAATAAAATACACATAAATAAGAGTGACTATTACATGACATGTAATTTTTTTATAGATATATATAATTTTGTTCTAAGTGTATTTGGATATCAATATATATATTATCAAAATACAGTTAGAACAAAATTACACATGTATAATTTTTATTTTATATATGTATATAAAATTATAAATATATATGTAAAATATATGTAAAATTAATATAATTCTAAGTTTATTTTAATATTAAAATACAATTAGAGACAGTGTGTGTGTATATATATATATATATATATATATATATATACACACACACACACACACACACACTTAGATCACATATAGAATATACATATATGTGATCTAAGTATATCCATAATGTACTTTAAAGTAACACTATAGTCACCTAAATTACTTTAGCGAAATAAAGCAGCTTTAGAGTATAGATCATTCCCCTGCAATTTCACTGTCACTTAGGAGTTAAAGGACCACTATAGTGCCAGGAAAACGTACTCTTTTTCCTGGCACAATAGTGCCCTGAGGGTGCCCTCACCCTCAGGGTCCCCCTCCCGCCAGGCTGGATGGCGAGGAAAGGGTTAAAACTTACCTTTTTTTCCCAGCACCGGGCAGGGAGCTCTCCTCCTCCTCTTCGGCTGAATGCGCATGCGCGGCATGAGCTGCGCACGCATTCAGCCAGTCTCATAGGAAAGCATTCATAATGCTTGCCTATGGACGCTGGCGTCTTCTCACTGTGATTTTCACAGTGAGAAGCACGCAAACGCCTCTAGCAGCTGTCAATGAGACAGCCACTAGAGGCTTTAGAGGCTGGATTAACCCTAATATAAACATAGCAGTTTATCTGAAACTGCTATGTTTATTTAAAAAAAAAAAAGGGTTAATCCTAGAGGGACTTGGCACCCAGACCACTTCATTAAGCTGAAGTGGTCTGGGTGCCTAGAGTGGTCCTTTAAATCACTTTGTTTCTGTTTATGCAGCCCTAGCCACACCTCTCCTGGCTATGATTGACAGAGCCTGCATGCAAAAAACAAACAAAAAAAACTGGTTTCACTTTCAAACAGATATAATTTACCTTGAATAATTGTATCTCAATCTCTAAATTGAACTTTAATCACACACAGGAGGCTCTTGCAGGGTCTAGCAAGCTATTAACATAGCAGGGGATAAGACAATCTTAATTACACAACTTGCAATAAAGAAAGCCTAAATAGGGCTCTCTTTACAGGAAGTGTTTATGGAAGGCTGTGCAAGTCACCTGCAGGGAGGTGTGACTAGGGTTCATAAACAAAGGGCTTTAACTCCTAAATGGCAAAGTACTGAGCAGTGAGGTTGCAGGGGCATGTTCTATACACCAAAACTGCTTCATTAAGCTAAAGTTGTTCAGGTGACTATAGTGTCCCTTTAACACGGTTTTAAACTTTATTACAGGAACTGGGGGACTGCCTGTCATTCCAGGAAGTCCCTCTGCAGCACTGCTTTGGACGGCTATTCCGTCCATGTGATCACGACCTCATAGCGAGCACATGGCCTGGGAGGGCGAGATCAGCCGCAGGGAGACTCCCTGGGATGCCAAGCAAGTCCCCCCGAAATCAATCACAGGCTGTGCATCGCCAGAGATCAGGTAAGTGGGAAGGACGGCGTGGAGTAAATAATCCCCCCCAAAAATCTGATGATAATAAAACAATGCACAAGTTGGATGTATTTACCGGATATGTGTTGCAGGCAAGGATTCAAATTGCCTGGAGAGGAAAAGCTCTCTGTGTTTAAGCTGGTGTCTCTGTGGTTCTCCCACCACAGGCTGCTTAGACTCATCCTCAAACTCTCCTGTACAGAGACAGTCAAACATCACAAACAACATGAGCAGCAGAAAATCAGCAAAGTTTTGATGAAGTAGATTGGGTGCCCATAGAGTCTCTTTAAGAGAGCACACCAAAAACTGGACCAGAGCAAACAAATGTAATTAATAAAATCTTTAATAACTACATATCCAAACCATTTACAGTTCAAAAGCACAGTGGTGTGAGCAAGACCAGATAAAGGGACGTGCCAAGCACCATAATCACTACATGGAACCCGTAGGCCACTAAATATATAACATTTTAATAAACTGTGGGGCCGTACCCATGGCCTCTTAAAAGAAGCTCTGTCACCTTCTGGGGCCTTTGTTGCACACCAAGTGGTGGTGTAGCAAAATATGCAAAGTTGACATGTATACACACAAATGCTGTCTCCAACGGGTGCAGGAGCCCAAGTTAGAGCTGTACTCTTGTACATGTGAGTGAGTACAATAGTGACATCTATGGAAGATCGTGTGCGACCCACAATAAAAATTGTCTCACTATGATAGAGACAAGGCCTCACAGCTATAGCTTAAAAAAAACTCAACAGCTGCAGACTTGAACAAGAGTAAGATTTTACTATATTTAGGGGTATAAGAGGGTACAGGGGGGCTAGATGGTGGTTTTTAGCACTCAGGAATACATGTTTGTGTTCCTGACCCTATAGCGTTTCTTTAACAGACTTAAGGAAATTCCAACAGTCTTTATAAGCACTTCATAAAATTCTCTTATTGGGGGGAGTTTGACAGGTGCTATAACCACTTTTGTGAGCAGTTGTGGTTACAGTGCATAAAACTCCCATCTCTTTTTTTTTTTTTATGGAAAACCAAATAGGCTAAACCAACACACACATTAGTTAAGTTTAATACTTACGAGCATTACTATCTGCAAGACTATTCAAACTGCTGGAGATATCTCTTCGACGAAAAAGACAGACCACCTTTGCTTCAACATTGCCGTTGGCTGTCTGCAATGAAATTTAGTCAACTAAGTAAAATCTAGTATGGTCATGCACAATTCTGTGAAAATATTAATCTTATTGAGTTTATTTATAAAGAACAAGTCATGGAACAAACTTCTAGTGGAGCAATCAGAAAGACATTTAAATGGGGTTCGTTGTGACAGCTTTTTTTTTGCACTTCACAAATCCTCAGTTGTGTGTTGAATCAAAGCATTTTTCTTACCTTGTTAAGTTCCTCTATCCTCCTGATCAGATACGGGTTACTGGAAGAATTTTCAAAGTACACATAATCTAAAGAAAATATAAAATCATATAAATACAGTTAACATCAACATGCAGAAATTAAAAAGATCTCAAAGCAAAGCAAAAGATTTCAGCACGCTAGTACAAAGTATACAGACAGAATTTTGTGATCATTCTAGTATACACTTCCATGCCCAACAGCATATACAATAAAACATGAAAATATAACATTCATAACACATGGTTATTATCAATGTAAGGGAATGTGGAACCAAACACAGAATGCACGAACATCTGCACATTAACATAGACCTCTGCATATACACAATCATCACAACCGCACCAATATATTTCTATTTATCCATCTACTGGGACAAGCGTATGAAAACAAAAAGCTGTTCGTCTGCGACGTCTAGAAACTTTTAAGCCTAGCTAAAAAGGTTAGAAATTGTTAAAAAATTAAGTAAAAAGGGGACACCCCAGGTTAGAAAGGACTACTATTGTCTAGTGCTAACACAAACAACTCATTAAGATGGTGCTTTTTTTTTTTTTGCAGATTTGCAGCTGCAAGAGGTAGTGTTGACCAAAACAGGAAATAGGGGGTTAACAAATTATATAAATACAAATTTAAGCAACATCACTTTTTCAGAATACTCAAAAGGATCATCTGGCAAAGTTTTAAAACCAGTAGTGCCTTTGTCAAGTGTGATTGCAGTCCAGTTTAATATTTAGGCACAAGTATGGAGTATGGAATATGATATATATATATATATATATATATATATGTTTATGACATGGTTTTCATATATTTAAACTTCATATATTTAAACTTCCAATATTTCGAAACACTATATAACACGAATAAATTTATTAAAGACTTTATGAACTTTATGGAAAATCTCAAGTCATTGCAATTTGTGTACCATGAAAACAAGCAAGTCCTGTAATACAATTATTGACAATACTCATGATGCAATTATCAAATACAACAGTTACACATTTATGTCTCTAGGGGAGCTGCAGGGGGAGGGAGGGAGTTTATTTTGCTTACTCTGGGCTCAACCTTGTTGTTAGTATAGTTGAATGAATGGTTTCTGTCCTCTCAGTGAAGTCTCAATGTATAGGTTTAAATCTATATATTAACCATATTTTAGCTGTATTTCTTTATCTTCATTACCTTTACCGAAATGATTACTTGATTCCTACTTGTTCTGCTTTGACAGCCAGCTACCACCTGATTTGAATAGAATACCTTCTCATGGACTACACACTGCAATAAAACAAATCTCCTAAACAACCATGAAACTGACGAGCTTTAGGGATCTGAAGTACCTCTTTAATGGAAATGAATGCTTTCTCTCTACGAATCAGTAAGAGGATTAACCCCTTAAAGACTGAGCCAAATATACCCGTTGTAATCAAAACAAAATTTAGACAAAACCTGGCATTTGCGCTATATGTCTGTCCAACCATAATTCACCTTTCATATTAAATGCACCCACACTTATATATAATTTTATTCGGGGAAACAGGGCTTTTATTTAACATCAAATATATAGCTATGAAAATTTAATATGAATAAAATATTTTAAAAATGGGAAAAAAAAAAAAAAAAAGATTACCTTTTTTTGTTTTTATTTTTATTATGTCAGAATACAGTTTGCTTTTACTGCAGTAAAATACACATTTGTATTCACCGATGTCTCACATGTAAAACAGTACCCCCTATGTACAGGTTTTATGGTGTTTTGGGAAGTTACAAGGTCAAATATAGCATGTTACATTTTTCAGTTTTTTCACACTGAAATTTGCCAGATTGGTTACGTTGCCTTTGAGACCATATGGTAGCCCAGGAATGAGAATTACCCCCATGATGGCATACCATTTGCAATAATAGACAACCCAAAGTATTACAAATGTGGTATGTCCAGTCTTTTTTAGTTCGTGTATTTTGATATCAATATTGTAACGGAGCTCCCCGTACTCCGACCGAGTACCCTCCGTTGATGGACGCTTCCTAGCTTTCGCCGAGGACCACGAGCACCGCTTTGGACACCACAACCACTGCAGACTCCGCAACCGCCGTAGCTTGACTGGAGTCTCGCCGTCTTCTGTGCACCCTGGATCGGCTTCTGTCCTCCAGGACTGTTTGGGGAAGACCTCTCCTCCACGGAGAGCGTAACAGGAACAGCTCTTAAAAGAGCTACGTGATTAAGGCTCAAGGGAGTATGCAGAGCATAGCAATCCCCAATGTGAGTATAGCTGTCCCCTCCAATCACGAGACAAGACGTGTTGAGGGTCAAGAAGCTCTGTTTTATTGGCACCAAAGGGCCTTCTTTTATGCAGGTTTTCCTTACATAGGACCACCCACAGGGTTTTACAGAACAACCAATAAGAGACGTACATTACAGAAAACACTCCCAGCAATTACCAACAAAATCCTCCCCTCTGTCTGTGATGTAATTATGGTACACAATGCTTAACATAAGTAACACAGGCAGGAAAAATACAGTTTTTATACATGTACTGGCTGGTAAAATATTTGAAAGTTTTTTTAAGGGATAATATTCAAGAATTCCTTGAGAAGAATATGGTTATCAGCAAAAATCAGCACGGTTTTATGAAGCACAGGTCATGTCAAACTAACTTGATTGCGTTCTATGAAGAAGTAGAAGTATAGATCAGGGTGTTGCCATGGATGTGATCTATTTGGATTCTGCCAAGGCATTTGATACAGTTCCACACAATAGATTCAAATAGTGTTCAAACTCAAGGAAATCGGTCTAGATGAAAATGCTTGTTCTTGGGTAGAACATTGGCTTAAAAACAGAGTACAAAGAGTTGTCATTAATGGTAAATGTTCAAGCTGGACAGAGGTGGCAAGTGGTGTCCCTCAGGGGTCTGTTCTGGGACCCCTTCTATTTAACATGTTTATAAATGATCTTGAAGACCGCATTGAAAGTCATGTTTCAGTGTTTGCAGATGACACAAAACTTTGTAAAACAATACAATGTGAGCAGGATATTACTTTGCTGCAGAGGGATTTAGATAGACTGGGGGACTGGGCACTCAAATGGCAGATGAAATTTAATGTTGAAAAATGCAAAGTTATGCACTTCGGCGTAAAGAATACACAATCAACGTATACCCTTAATGGAAGCGAATTAGGGATAACAACACACGAAAAGGACTTGGGATTGTTATAGACAACAAACTATGCAACAATGTGCAATGTCAATCAGCAGTGGCCAAGGCCAGTAAGGTATTGTCATGCATGAAAAAAGGCATTCATTCTCAGGACAAGAATATAATTTTGCCTCTTTATAAATCACTGGTAAGACCCCATATTGAATATGCTGTGCAATTTTGGGCACCTGTTCTAAAGAAGGATATTATGGCACTAGAAAAAGTGCAGAGGCGGGCTACAAAATTAATAAAAGGAATGGAACATATCAGCTATGATGAAAGGTTAACAAATTTAAACCTATTTAGTTTAGAAAAACGTCGCCTGAGAGGGGATATGATAACATTATACAAATATATTCGGGGCCAATACAAACCATTGTGTGGAAATCTATTCACAAACCGGACTTTACATAGGACACGAGGCCATGCGTTTAGACTGGAAGAAAGAAGATTTCGTCTAAGGCAAAGGAAAGGTTTTTTTACTGTAAGAACAATCAGGATGTGGAATTCTCTGCCTGAAGAAGTGGTTTTATCAGAGTCCATACAGATGTTCAAACAGCTACTAGATGCATACTTGCAAAAGCAGAATATTCAAGGATATAATCTTCAATGTAGGGTAGTAACTGCTTGATCCAAGGATAAATCTGACTGCCATTCTGGGGTCAAGAAGGAATTTTTTTCCTAGCTTGTTGTAAAATCGTGCTTCAAACTGTTTTTTTTTTGCCTTCTTTTGGATCAACAGCAAAAAACAAATGTGAGGTAGGCTGAACTTGATAGACGCAAGTCTCTTTTCAGCTATGTAACTATAACTTTAAAAATACACGTCCAATCTTCATAAAAAATTACATATTCAGAATCAGCACACTAAATGTAAACACTCTCAGACAAACCCATCCAGTAGATAAAAAGTTAGCCAGAAGTCCTTTATGACCGACCGCAAGCACATTTTCCTGCCCAAAACAGTTCCATAGTTTTGGGCTGTGCGGTCGGTCTATTTCAGGCTGAAAAAATGACTAAGTTCCATCGCTGAATGGGACAGTCTCTGCAGCTGAAAGTTCAGTATGAGAGAAGGTACAGGTCAGCGGTGTTTGCGGAAATGTGCAGCTGATTTCAGTTCCATGAATTTGGCTGCACACACCGCTGACCGTATTTGAATGAATAAAGATAGCGCCACCACATGTTCGTTTGCGCGAACAGTGGCCACCCAGCGTTCAGCAATTTACCTACTGCAGGCTCCCAACCTGGGAGGTAAATTGCCTGCACACTTCCACTTCTGGGTGGTCCGCCTGTGTGGTACTTGGTTCAGTAAGCCCCATTTACTGAACCAAGTGGGAAATAGTCAGGAACAAAGGGTTTTAACCAGGTCTGGGGACACAGGCTTAAAGGGGCAGTGTCCCAAACAAGTCTGGGACACTGTCTTAAAGGGGCATTGTCCGAATTTTCTCTACGTCCCATAAAAAGTCTATAAGCCCCAATATGCTCACAGACTGTTCTTAAAGGGCCATACACACCCGGTCCATGGTCATGGGTGAGGAGGCTGGCAAATAGGCTCCTCCATAATCCAGGGAAGCAGGGCCATTTGTCATTTAAAGGAACAGTTACAAAAGGCATTTTGTAACAAATATATAAATATATAATCAAAATACAGTTAGAACGAATTACACACATTTTTTTTTTTTATTTAACGTATTTACATATTTATATTTTTCTATTATGTAGAAATATATAATTTTACATATATTATATATATTTAATCAATATCATTCTACGTGTATTTTGAGATATATATATTTAATCAATATCATTCTACATGTATTTTGAGATAGAGATGTATATTCTAAGTATATATTATTTATTTTTTAACTGTTATTAACATTAAGGGGTTAAGAGGGGCAGAGACAGTGTCAGCCAGTGATTTGAGATCATTGGCTGACACATAGTAACAGTGATCACAGTGACTGGCTGTCACTGTGATCACATCCTGCAGATCGAGGTAATTGACCACAGGTGGAGTGCCTGGATGGTACAGACATGCCCCCACCGCGATCTGCAGGGAGATCATGGCTGCAGTTAGATGTGTCAGCCAATAGGCTGACACATAGTAACAATGATCGCAGTGATAGGCTACCACTGTGATCAGACTGTGCAGATCGCGGTCACTGACCGCAGGGGGACTGCCAGGGGGCCGGGCATTTCGCACGATCTGCAGCGGGAGAATGCCGCGGCCACGTGTGTCAGACGATTTTAAAACGGCTGACACATAGTAAATACTGATCGCAGTGACAACCTGTCACTGCAATCAGAGGTTACAGACCGCGGTCACTGGGCACAGGGGGGTTACCTGGGTGGCCAGGCATACCCCCTGACAGCGATCTGCAGCGGGCGAATGGTCCCGGGCCCCGTGGGCAGCAAGAACGGCCAAGACGTTCTATGCCGCCCGCCAGTGTTTAGAGCCAGCCCCTTAAGGATGGCATAGAACGCCCGCCCTCCTAAGGGTTAAAGGAACACTATAGTGTTACTCTAACTGGGCGCTGCACCAATTAGCATCTCCTCAAAGAGATGAAGCAATGCATCTCTACGGGGAACGTTCAGCGTCTTCATGCAGAGCATAGAGACGCAGAAGGCCAGTGCTGCACATTGGAAGCACTTTTAGTGGCACCAGAGGTGTTACTAGGCAGCAATGTAAACACTGCCCTTTCTCAAAAAAGGCAGTGTTTATTTACAGTGCCAACACTGCAGGGGCAAGGTATAGACACCAAAACCACTACATTAAGCTGTAGTAATTCTGGTGAGTAAAGGATCCCTTTGAAGGAGACAATATAATATCTTAGTTTTATGTTGTCAGATTATGCGGTTTCTAATTGGAGAAGGAGTTGCATGTACTCATGTAGTAGCAAAAGAGGGTCTTTATACTTTACATTCTTATGTTCCATTTATAACAAAAAAATTTTTTGTTATTCTCTTTTTGTATTGTGGCATATGTATAGTAGAGAATACATGCAAGCAGAAGATATAACATAGTAAGGTCAAATGAAGTCAAGACACACCAGAGTAACATTACAGCCTCATTTTTTGTTACTCTGTCATGTTTTGACTTCCTCTCTGACCTTACTACGCTAGATCTAATTTTTTTGTAATTATATATAAATGTGAGAAAACAATGCTGCCATAGCAACTTCAAAGCCGTGCTTTTTGACTCGAGTATAAGAGAGTGGTGGTTTTTCAGCACAAAAAATGTGCCGAAAAACTTGTCTTATACTCTAGTATATAAAATGGTATATCAAACAGTACCAGCAAAATATTTAAAGCTTTGATCCCTGTGCAATAAAACAAGCATGTAAGGGTGCAATCTGGCCCCTGTCCTTGTCTTGGGAGGAGTCTCACTTGTGTTTATTGTAACATGAGTTATAGAGCATGCTTAAAGCGGCACTGTCATGCCGAACCTACCTTTCCCCAATCGATTACTCTTCTCTCCCTCGGTCAGGATCAGTTCTTCATTTCTTCCTGTCTGCTCTATTTTTTTTTTTTTTAAAACATAAGACAAAGTAGAGACTATTTTGTCTTATGGAGGTTTCCTACGCCTGACCATCTCTGACTAGCGGAGGAGCAAAGTGTGCTTCATTTCATGTGGTCAGAGACGGTTTCCCACAATTCTTACATTTCTTTCGTGATCTCGCGATGTCCCTTTCCCCCCCCATTTAGGGCCCCAACCCGCTGCTCATGGGTGGGGGAGGACAATAGGTCCTCTCCCCCATTTTCATTTAGGGGCCCCACCCGCCGCTCACGAGTGAGGGCCGGAGGGATGACACTAGGCACCCTATCAGTTTAATATCCCCCACTCGCGCGGCACAGGTAGGGGGCTTTTTTTTTTTTTTTTTAAACAATGAGCAGCCACTGGCTGCTCACTGTTGAGTAGACATGCCCATTTTAATCACCCTTATGCTAACATGGAGGTCATATTGACCCCCATAGAGTGAGGTCATCGGGGCTTAGGAAGTGGCGGGGAGCACTGCTCCCTGACGCTATTTTTACATATTACAAGGAGGAAGCTGCAACCTTGTAGCTCCCTCCTTGTAATAAACCAAACTAACGAAAAGGTCTTCGTTCGTTTGAAATTTCTATTTATTTATTCGTCTTTCTGAAAGACACGGAAATTTCATAGCGCTATCTAATGTGGGCCCTCATCTACCCACATAAAGTTGGCGGTGCCCAGGACCTAGGTCTAGGCAGAAAAATATATATATATATTTTTAAAAAAAAGGTAATTTGCAGGGATTATGGGCATTTGGGGGGCGACTAGGGGGACAAGTAGATGTAGTAAAGTCAGGAAGTGGGTTAAAAAACCCAAAACAGGATTCGGCCATGACAGTGCCACTGTAAATGGGAGGCAGGATCTTGAGGACTAGTAGTAGTAGTCCTAAGCAGTGGGCCAAGAGAGAGACAGTTCCCCTTGAGCAGGGGGAAAATTGCTCAGGCATAATACTTTTATATATAAACACTATTTAAAAAAATAAATTAAAAAAAAATGAAAAAATACTTTCAATGTGCAGGACTACTCTGCTGTACATACTTTTTCACATGGCTTCAAAATTTCACGTCTGAGCATATCCTGAAAACCCATGCCCAGCAGTGTTGGGGATTTACATGGCATAAATCTGCCCCAAAGGGCACATGCTACAGACGTAAGTTACCAAGGGGTTTACTTTAGTGACTTGTAAACCAGTCATCTTAGTTGATCTTAACGGAGAGAAGCAAAATACATGACTAGTTATTAACTAAAGTGTCATGAAATTAAAAAGGGATAATATAGTGCCAGGAGTACAAAGCTGTATTCCTGGCACTATAGCTACCTCTGCCTCCCCCGCCGCAGTGAATTACCTCACACCAGCGCTTATGCAGCTCGGCACTGGGTTACGACGGACCAAGAAATTATAGAAGCGCTACTAGAGGCAGTCTTAAACATTGTAGTTTCTCTAAAATTGCAGTGTTTTGCATTGCAACACTAAATGCAATAGGGACATTGTACTCAGGCCACTTCAATAAGCTGAAGTGGTCTAGGTGCCTAGTGTCCTTTTAAGGTGAAAATGTCACTGGAAGTGAATTACACCAAGGAAAGAAACTAACTTTTTTTCTTGTAATGCCCACATTTCTTTTACAGTTATATTAAAGGGCCACTAAAGTCACCTAGACCATTTCAAATCAATGAAGTGGTCTGAGTGCAGTGGTCCGGTCATTCTAAACCTGCAATGTAATTTTTTAAATATTTTTTTTTTTTTAACCAACTAGAATGTTTCCAGACAGCCATTATAGGCGCTTCCTACTCCAGAACCAAGCAAAACTGATAGCAGCACTTGGATGGAGCGTGTAAGAAGCAGTGGATTTGAGGAAATCATAGGTGATGCAAGCTTGGATGCAGACATCAGAGGAGGAGGAGCTGGAGAGTAGAACAGAGGGTTCCCAGCGCTGGAAATGAGGCAAATAAACTAACAAATTTTACACACCAAAAACAGGGTGGAAAGGGAACAATAGGATCAATTTAACCCCTTAAGGACACATGGCATGTGTGACATGTCATGATTCCCTTTTATTCCAGAAGTTTGGTCCTTAAGGGGTTAAAGAATTGTCTTGTGACATCAAACTATTTCACAGCCAGGACATACAATGCATACAATGCAAAAAATGATAAAAATAAAAAATAAAATTTTTGGCTTTTCCTCTTCCACTACATTTCATAACCAGGATTAAAGGCCCAGCTACAGGATATAAGTAAGTACAGCAGTGCAAATTTCTACATTTAAATTTATTTTCAGACCAAAATAAATAAATCCCAAAACACGCTTCGGATAGCAGTTGCCATGATCCACAAATCAGCAACTCCTCACAGAGATGCATTAGCTCAAAGCATATCTATGGGGAGCATTTGACCCTGCAGAGATTGCAGAACTACAACAGGAAGCGACTTTAGTGGCATTTTTTACTACATGGTGTGTAGTGACAAATGTAAACACTACTTTTTCTCAGAATCGTCAGACAGCAGGAACGGACTTTTTTGCAACTGAACCACTACATTAAAGGAACACTATGGGGTCAGGAACACAAATATGCATTACTGACCCTACAGTGTTAAAACCACCATCTAGCCCCCTCCCTAATTATAGCAAAATCTTACCTTTATTGCAGTCTGCTGCTGCCTCTGCCCATGATATGCCTTCTTGGCTGACATCATCAGAAGTGGTGTTCTGAGCCAATCACAATGCCTTCACATTGGATTGGCTGAGTTTGTCAAGGAGGCAGTGCCAGAACAAGCCAAACACAGACTGGCCAATCAGCATCTCCTTAGAGATGCATTAGATCAATGCAACTCTATGAGGAAAGAGGGTGTGCAGCACTGCCACAGAAAGCACCTCTATCAGCCATCTGAGGAGTGGCCAGTGGAGTTATCCTTAGGCTGTAATGTAAACACTGCCTTTTCTCTGAAAAGAGTGTTTGCTGCAAAATGCCTGAAGGGAATGATTATAATCACCAGAACAAATACGTTATAAATAGGTTATAGTGGTTCTGGTGAGTATAGTGTCCCTTTAACCCCTTAAGGACACATGACATGTGTGACATGTCATGATTCTCTTTTATTTCAGAAGTTTGGTCCTTAAGGGGTTAAGCTTTAGATATTCTGGTGCAGTGTCCTTGTTCTGGGAAGTGGAAGTTCCTCTTTAACCCCTTAAGGACAAATGACATGTGTGACATGTCATGATTCTCTTTTATTTCAGAAGTTTGGTCCTTAAGGGGTTAAGCTTTAGATATTCTGGTGCAGTGTCCTTGTTCTGGGAAGTGGAAGTTCCTCTTTAACCCCTTAAGGACAAATGACATGTGTGACATGTCATGATTCTCTTTTATTTCAGAAGTTTGGTCCTTAAGGGGTTAAGCTTTAGATATTCTGGTGCAGTGTCCTTGTTCTGGGAAGTGGAAGTTCCTCTTTAACCCCTTAAGGACAAATGACATGTGTGACATGTCATGATTCTCTTTTATTTCAGAAGTTTGGTCCTTAAGGGGTTAAGCTTTAGATATTCTGGTGCAGTGTCCTTGTTCTGGGAAGTGGAAGTTCCTCTTTAACCCCTTAAGGACAAATGACATGTGTGACGTCATGATTCCCTTTTATTACAGAAGTTTGGTCCTTAAGGGGTTAAAGGTACACTGAAGTGGTGTGTCCCTTTTGCACATTGTTTTCATTGCAGCACTAAGTCCGCCTCCAGTGGCGGTCTCCCAGACAGCCACTTGAGACGCTTCCTGCATCGTAAAAGACCTTTGGTCAGGTATCTGACGCTTGATGTCCTGGTGCTCTACATGGGGATATCCAATGGCAGATTTTTTTCCCCACAGGAAAGCATTGATTCTATGCTTCCCAATGGGGAAGTCCAACGCCTGCTGCTATCGTGATATCGGAGGAGGTGGAGCGTCGACCTAGCACCGAGGGACATCGGTGCTGGAATCAGGTAAGTTTATTCACGGGGGGAATATTCAAAATATCTAAACTGGACCAAGAGAAAAAAAAAAGGTCTGATTCCACTAAGCCTATAATATGAAAATTAATTTCGATTGCCTTGCATTCACACATAGTTAATACACCGAACTGAGTTGTAGGGATGAAATTAAATCAGTTGATCTGGAAAAAAACAACCAAATGTAGTCACAGCATGGCTTTTTAAGCCTGAGTTTTGCCATTTAGATGTTACACAATTACAATTCTGGTGCACAGATGAGTAAAGGATGTGGAAAGGTGACATGGACAGGAAGGAGCACATTCATACAAATATCCCAGCAGTACACGTGCACTGACTCATATACAGACACTTTAAAGGGACTCTACAGTCACCTGAACAACTTTAGCTTAATGAAGCATGTTCTATAATGGTGTATAGAACATGCCCTTGCAGCCTCACTGCTCAATTCTCTGCCATTTAGGAGTTAAATCCCATTTGTTTATGAACCCTAGTCACACCTCCCTGCATGTGACTTGCACAGCCTTCCATAAACACTTCCTGTAAAGAGAGCCCTATTTAGGCTTTCTTTATTGCAAGTTCTGTTTAAGATTTTCTTATCCCCTGCTATGTTAATAGCTTGCTAGACCCTGCAAGAGCCTCCTGTATGTGATTAAAGTTCAATTTAGAGATTGAGATACAATTATTTAAGGTAAATTACATCTGTTTGAAAGTGAAACCAGTTTTTTTCATGCAGGCTCTGTCAATCATAGCCAGGGGAGGTGTGGCTAGGGCTGCATAAACAGAAACAAAGTGATTTAACTCCTAAATGACAGTGAATTGAGCAGTGAAATTGCAGGGGAATGATCTATACACTAAAACTGCTTCATTTAGCTAAAGTAATTTAGGTGACTATAGTGTTCCTTTAATGCGCAACACAAACAATACTTTAATGCACACACAGACAACAAAAATATGTCAGGGGAATTCAAACACTGACACAACACAAATATACCAATAAACGCATACACTGCCCTGAATTAACGAACACAAATATAGACAGTCATATTGCAAACATATAAACCACCTGAATTCACATGCCAACACTTCATTCTATATATCAAAATCAAATGCTGTTCATGTGCATTTTAAGGAAGCTTGTAAATGTTAGGCCTGGCTGGCATTGTGAAACTTGAGCCCTGACCTATACTACTATAAACTTCAGAAGTTCTACGCGGATATTTAAACACTCCCCATGAGTATACTCACAGTGACTGTTTTGGAATTTCACTGAAAATTCCAATGCAGCCTAAAGATATACTAAAGGACTACTTTGTCTTAGTATATATTTCCTATGCTTGACAAATTGAGAAGCTACCACGACCAAGATTTATCATGTCTAAGTTATCACTAGTGATCAGAATCTTTCATAAATCCCGGTGTTGTCCTTTTGTACATGCACAAGAGTACAGTCAGGAGCGAAAAAAAGGACCATGCTTGCAGCTGCGAGGGACGAGTTTAGGTAAGTACAACTCACCTTCCAACACAGCCAATGGACACCCAGCTGAGCAGTCAACATTGGGGTGTATACAAAATATTCAAAGACCAGAGGCAGTGATGGCTGCTTTAAAAACTAGATGGTTAGAAATGTCTACATAGTGAAATTATCATATTTAATCAAAGTGTACAACGTCAAAAATACTGGAAAAAAATTAAGGGTTACTCAAAGCAAAGCATTTACACATTTAGTTTAAAAGATAAATTGGCAAGCCTTTACACAGATTTTGTTTGCCTTCTTTGCACAGCAGGATTTGGGGTCTTATCAAAGGAACTGTGAATGTTTACTGGTCACAGTGAATGACAAATTACTGTAAGGCTTGGATTTTTCTTTATAACTGCAGTTAGTGGAGTAAATATATTGCCTGTGTAAGGAAAATGGATTTAGAATGATTTGAATAACAACTTCATAAAGACATCGGCTAAAAACGAATACACATGCGACATACAGTATCACAATGATAACTGGCATGCATTTGTTGCTTTTTGAAAACCTTTGATGTCTAAGCCCACAAGTTACTTTTGTTTACATTACCATGAAGGCAATGTTTGTACAAGCCCCGTGATTACATGTTTGAAGTAATTTTCTTACACTTTAAACAGACGAGAATTGTTCAGAAACCAAAGTAAAACTAATATTGGAGACATATCTCCCTATATACGCTGATCACTAAATTGATTGCAGAGCCAACAATATTTCTCACATTTATTTGTGAAATACATTGCCTGTAATGTGAAATTAATGCCAGTGAGGTACATGGAATACTGCATAAAAACAGCAAATAAATAGGGCTTATCTGCAAGTGCGCTGTTTGGAGCAGGTATTCCTCCTGTCCACTTGGAGCCATGACACAATAGCCTTTGACTGCAAAAATCACTCCCATACAAAAGAGCATATTTAAATAGTCACTCCAGGCACCATGACTACTTCAGTGTTTTGAAGTGGCTCGAGTGTCTGGAGTCAGAATTTGCAGCGGTCTCTCTGAAAATATGTATGAATGAAGTTTAACCCTTTTGCTGCCGGAGACTCCACCTCCAGCAGAATCAACAGTGCATCATTAGCTAGCCCGGATCAAGAGTTACAGCCTGGTTAACGTAAATATTTGTGCATTTTTCCATTGACTCATTCATTGGCTGAGAATGATTGGCTGACACGCTTAGCCAATCCACGAGCATTAGAAGTTGGATGTTGTAGTTCTGTACTAACAGAAAACCCAGCAGGGTTTTCCCCATCACTGGGAATCTGAGGCCAGGGTACTCCTAACATCATAACAGCGCTGCGTAATTTGCTGCCATTTTATAAATAATAACCACTACAGTGAGCAGCAATGCTTTTGATGGCTGACGAACCTCTCCAATACAAGCTCTTAAACCCCCTGATTCCTAGCCTTAGCCATTTGAGTTTGCAGATGCTCTTGTTGGCCTTTTCGTTCATACAGGCCCAAACTCTAAAGGGTATAGATTTTTATTTTCCCCTCAGACTCAACTAATATAGAATACATTTAAAGGGACACTATAGTCACCCAGACTACTTCAGCTCAATGAAGTGGTCTGGGTGCCAGGTCCCTCAGGTTTTAACCCTTCACACGTAAACATAACAGTTTCAGAGAAACGTCTATGTTTACATTTAGGGTTAATCCAGCCTCTAGTGACTGTCTTCTGGACAGCCACTAGAGGCGCATCTGCGACGCTGGAGGCGAATGTCGCATACATCGCGCAGAGCATCCATAGGAAAGCATTGAGAAATGGTTTCCTATGGACACTTTGAATGCGCACGTGGCACTTGCCGCGCATGCAGCTCCACTGACGTCAGCGGGGGAGGAGAGGTCACCAGCGCCGAGGGAGGCCGCCACTGGAATAGGGTAATCTGTTGAAGGGGTTTTAACCACGGGAGGGGTACCCTGAGGTAGGGGGCACCCTCAAAGCACTATAGTGTCAGGAAAACCGCTGTTTTCCTGAAACTAGAGTGATCTTTTAATATATATATATATATATACACACACACACAACCCCATTGATACCAACCCTTACATAAGGAGTAATTTGTGTATATATATATTAAACCTATATTATGCATGAGATTATTATTTATGTGAAATCTTGCATGGAGTGATATCTCCCTGCTCACACGTGCATTAAAGGGAGCTCTGGTGGCTGGGTATTCCTCCCACGCTCAGAGATGGGAAGCCCAGAGGGAAACGTTAAATGGCTGCCGTCTGTAATGAGTGCTTCACATTCACCGACCGTGTGGATTATAAACGGGGGGCACCACGCAGCCCACCGCATCACTACAGCACTCACAGTATGAGCAGGACATTCAAAAAGCAATTTGGATCTCACTCACCTCCCACCCGGTACATATTGGCCGCCATCTTGCCCTCTCCCGCGCACAATAACTCGGGGCGCCGCGCGCGTTTCCGGAGCCCGGGAGGGGGAAAAGAAAAGGGCTTACTTCCGGTTGGAAGAGGACAACTTCCGGTGAGGACAAGGAAGGGGAAAAAAGAAAAGGGGTGTGTCCAACAATTACTTCCGGTGGGTAAAGCGATCCTATCCCCGCCCCCTGCCGTTACCCGAGTGTGTGTAATCAGAGAGCCGGAAATTGCCGAACACAGCCGAAGGTAGCCGCATGATTGACGGTTTTGTGACCAATAAGAATACGGATTTTCAATGGGGGAGGAGTTACACGCTAAAGTATGGTTGCAAATAGAATTCAGAGTATCAGAATTAAAGGGACAGTATAGGTAACTGTTCTCTACAATGTAAAACATTTGAGGCAGTCTCTAGTGGCTGTTTACCAGACAGCCATTGGAGTCGCTTTCTGAATTTTCAGTGAGTTTAATTCTGTAAAACATCGTTTTGACGTCCTCATATTTTGCATGAGGATGCCCTGCGTCTTCAAAATCCCCATAGGAAAGCACAGATTTAATGTTATTCTATGGGGAAGGTCTAATGCACGCGGCGCTTGTGCACTAAGTTCCACTATCGGTGTTACGTAGCTGTAGTAGGAGTTAGAAATAGAGTTTTGTATTCCTAACGCTATAGTGTTCCTTTAAGACTAAAATAGTTGACATTTTGGCTACTTTAGCCTTACAGGGTTATTATTATTGCCATTTATATAGCGCCAACAGATTCCGTAGCCCTTTACAATATCATGAGAGGGGGATTTAACTATAAATAGGACAATTACAAGAAAACTTACAGGAACAATAGGTTGAAGAGGAGCCTGCTCAAACGAGATTACAGTCTATAGGAGGTGGGGTATAAAACACATTAGGACGGGAAATAGCATCAAATAAGGTGGGAGTGAAGCAGAGCTGGAGGAGAGAGTAAAGTGCTGCCCTTTAGGAGAGAGCAAGAGACAGGTACACTGCCTTGCAAAAGTATTCACCACCCTTGACTTGTGACCTATTTTGTTACATTACAGCCTTAAGTTCCATGTTTTACTAGTCTGAATTTTATCTGATGGATCAGAACACAATAGTCTAAATTGGAAGTGAAATGAGAAAAATATATTCATAAAACTGTTTTTTTAGAAATAGAAAACAGAAAATTGGCATGTGTGTATGTATTCAACCCATAAAGCCCATAAAAAGCTCTGGTGCAACCAATTACCTTCAGAAGTCAAATAATTAGTGAAATGATGTCCACCTGTGTGCAATCTAAATGATCTGTCTTTACATATACACACCTTTTTTTGAAAGGCCCCAGAGGCTGCAACACCTAAGCAAGAGGCACCACTAACCAAGAGGCACCACTAACCAAACACTGCCATGAAGACCAAGGAACTCTCCAAACAAGTAAGGGACAATGTTGTTGAGAAGTACGAGTCTGGGTTATGTTATAAAAAAATATCCAAATCTTTGATGATCCCCAGGAGCATCATCAAATCTATCATAACCTGACGGCGTGTCCTGGCGGCGGTACTGAGCGGTCGCATGTGCTGAGCGCTCCGCTCCGACGGCACCCACAGAGGAGTAATTTGGCGGCTAGCCACGAAAAAACGGGGCACCATATACCCCAACGAGCATGTCGCAAAGCAAGGGGAAAAGGCAGGCGGAAAAAAAGGACCGGAGTGCATTTTTTGCCGCACGGACACACCAGGGGAGACAGGCCTTGATGCAGGATGAGGGCCAAGATGGCGCCGAGGAGGCTGGTGAATCACTGCACACAGACACAGTGGCAGCTGGCCCCCTCACACAAGAGGTGATGCAGACACTGCTAGAACAAATGTCTGCAAGATTGGAGAATAGCTTCAAATCCACAATTGGAGCACTACATGATGACCTAAAAGAACTGGAGGTGAGAACTGCTGGGACTGAAGTTAAAGTGGCAGAGCTAGAGGAGGCACGCAGGGGGATGGAAGAAGAAATGGCAGGGATACAAAACCGTATGCAGCAGTATGAGATAAAGCTGGCAGACATTGAGGACAGAGCTCGCCGCAACAACCTGCGAATTCGCGGAGTGAGCGAGGAGGTGGGACCCGCAGAGCTGGCGGCCTATCTGACAAATCTGCTGAAAGCGCTGGCGCCAGACATACCGCTAGACCTGCTGCTCATGGACAGGTACCATCGAACCGCCAAACCCAGTTTTCTACCTCCAGACACCCCACGAGACATCCTCATCAGAATGCACTACTACCATGTGAAAGAATTAGTGCTACAAGCAAGCAGAGCGAAGAAGACGCTTCCTGAACCGCATGGGGGACTGTTAGTGTTTGCAGACATATCAACATACACGTTGAAACAAAGGAGAGAATTTAGAGAAGTCACAGAACAGCTCCGACGCCACAAGCTGCCATATCGCTGGGGATACCCGGTGAAGATCCTGGTGTCCAGAGGAGGGAAAGTGTCAGCTATCAACACGCCAGAAGAAGGAGCCCTACTGCTACAAAGATGGGGTCTCACGGAACCAAACCAGCAACGAAGCCCAAAGAGGACGCAAACCGCCTCCAAAGACTGGAGAAAGTCCAAGAGACTGACACAAAAGACTACACCACAACTAACTCAGATATACGAGCGTCCGCAGGAGCTGGTTGTGTGGCCGGTCCTGATAACTGGACCATGAAGTCAGCTGGGGGTATCGTATAATTGTTATAACCTATGTTGAATGTTAATGTCATACCTAGACATGTTAGGCATGTGTAGAAATTGAGGGGAAAAAAAATAAATAAATAAATTTAAAAAAAAAAAAATTATTATATATCTATATACTTTAATTGTATGCGTTTATATACAGGCATTTATACCTATGTGGGTATGCAGGTCCCACAATGCTTCACTGTACCATACAGGGGGCATTAATACCCGGCTAAGCGCCAATACTCACATACCACTTAGCAAGCCATAGAGTGGGTCGACTCGGGGTCCACACCCCACAGGAAGGAAGTTCGGACTTCCCCCTCCACAGGTACCAGGAGTACCTAGGCCGAGAATGGCACACCTGTTTATTGTGTATATGTTTTATATGTTTTCCCAGTTATTACCTTGTCCCACCCCCACCCCGGTCTCGTGGAGACTTGCCACCCCATGTCCAGCCCCCAATACCTACAGGGAGTCCACACAGCTGATCCAACACACTGGGCCTCAGTCCCTGCAAAGGTACCCCAGCCCACCTACCCATCCCTAACCCAGCGAGTGAATTATGCCCGATTCATACCCTCACTTCAGGGAAGGTCGCTCGACTTGATGCTGCTGGGACGAGCGAACCCCCCGCACTGGTCTTTAATTCCACGGATGACCCTTATAAAAGCCATTGGGTTTAAACCCCCATGAAAATTTTCTCTCTCAATGTAAGAGGGTTAAACCTACCGGTTAAGAGACACCAGCTATATAGAGAACTCAAGAGGACAGATGCGGACGTTATCTGTCTCCAAGAGACACACTACAGAACTGACGGTTATATCCCACCGACGACTTCGGACTACCCACACCAATACCACGCAACGTCCCCCACAAAGTCCAAAGGGACATCTATACTAATCTCTAAGCAAGTAGCATTTACTATGATCTCTGTAGAGGTAGACACCAATGGGAGATACATAATACTGAAATGCTCAATTAACAACATGATGTATACAATCACCAATATATACGCACCCAATACATTACAAGGAACGTTTCTGAGACAGGTGCTACAGAGAACTGAATCGATCCGCGAAGGAGTGTCAGTTATCTGTGGAGACTTTAATCATGTTTGGGACCCAAAACTGGACACTAACACTTCCCAACACAGCCCACGATATAAAATACTGCATAGACAGTGCAAAAAGCTACAGAAGATCCTCTCCCTACACCACTATTATGATACCTGGCGGATTTCCCACGCTTCGGAGCGTACGTACACTCACTTCTCCCACGTACATAACACATACTCGAGGATAGATGGGTTTCTCATACATGGCCAAAGCCTAAACCAAATCACAGACTGTGTCATAGGACAGATTACATGGTCGGACCACGCACCGGTTACACTGTCAGTAAGAGACCAATATGACTATAAACACCGCAGCCCATGGAGGCTGAATGCCTCCCTGTTGAATGATCCGTCATTCAAGAAAGAGGTAGAGGAGACTTTGACCAACTACTTCACTGAGAACGCTACCCCAGATATATCCCAGGGCACCCTATGGGCGCACATAAATCTGTAGTCAGGGGTATCTTTATCAGGAGGGCGTCCTACTTACGTAGGACATCCTCGGCCCAGACCACGCAATGGCAGAAGGAATTGTATCAATTAAACACACAAAACCAAATCTCCCCTTCTGCTGAGCTAAAATTACAAATCACCACTATTATAAACAAGCTACACCAAAAAGCAATAGAACAAACAGGATATATGCTACAGAGGTTGAAAATTAATCAATACACACAAGGGAACAAAGCTAGTAGACTATTAGCTAGGAGACTGCAAGAACGAAGGGCGAGCCAGAAAATAGCTTTTCTTATATCCCATACGGGAGAGAAGAAAATGATACCCAGAGACATATGCAATGAATTTGCAAACTATTACGCCGACTTGTACAACATCAACAAACATGACACCACATTCCAGCCCATGGCGGAACACATAAATAAGTACTTGGACACGATTGATCTCCCAAGAATCACGACCCAACAGGCGACCGATCTCATTAGACCCATCACAGAGGAAGAACTCCATACCATAATAAAACAGCTACCAAACGGCAAAGCCCCAGGCCCGGATGGACTTGACAATGCATACTACAAACAATTCCACCACATACTGACACCCCACCTGGTGCGCACATTCACAGAGGCGACGGCTGTACAGAAATTACCACCAGACACGCTCTTGGCCCACATCATAACGTTACAGAAACCAGGGAAGCCTCCCACCATCCCACAAAATTTCAGACCCATATCCCTGCTTAACACCGACGCGAAAATATTTGCCAAACTATATGCGATGAGATTGAGCAGTCTCCTACCTCAGATAATCCACAAAGACCAAGTTGGGTTTGTGTTAGGGAGACAGGGAGCGGACAACACACGCAAG